CATTTATGCATTTTTGTACTTACCTAATTTATTTTCGGAGTCACTGACACTGATGAGAGATGTAGATTGAAATGTGTGTGTTGGCCCTTTATTGGAATAGATTCAGAGTTAATGAAAGGAATCACTAGGGACACAGAAGGAGCAAACATAAAGCGCAGACCAGTCATATTTGTATTTGTGTTTGCAGGGCATAAACTGAAACTGCAAAATAAAAAATGAAGTTAGCAATTTGACTAGGAATATCTAGGATATAGAAAGAAATTGCTGGGTACTATATGTTAACATTTGTGTCATCTAGATTCTGTTGCAATGAGTAACACAGAAAATAAAAAGACTGGAAATGATCTTCCTCATCGATCGTTGGGGGCTGGCTGCATGGTTGAGGGGTGTGTGGACTGAGGGCCTACGGGGCTCCCTGCTTCATTATAATTTAGCAGCTATTCAGGAAATGTTTTAATTGCAAACTACCCTGGCAGTAATTTGCTTAGTTTGTGCATCGCTTTTTGAATGTCTTAGTGTGGGGGCTCCTGCTTTGATTTTTAGGTTTGGTCGTCTATGGGTAGACAAGGAAGACGAGACAGCTAAAGGCTTGCCTCATGAGTGATGGGTGGGAAGGGTTGTGCTCTCTCCTGAAGTGTTTTGGCATTCTCTGCTGTTCCCCTCTTTCGACTGCCCAGAAACTAAGAGGCCCTTTGTCCATGATGAGTCATCTGGTGGTTTCAGTTGACTTTTAAAGTAAAAGTGTGCATTTCTTGAACTATCTAACTTGGAGTCATTATGAAAGACCCAGGAAAGGGAAATTCAGTAGTAAAAAAGGATTTCGGTATTCACTGAAAAAAATTTTTAAAATCTATATGTATGGAAAAAGCAGTGCAAATCAAAACACAGACACACATGATTAGAATGAAAATGATTTCCGTGTTTATGTTTGTCAGCGATACAGTTATTTACAAATAACCCATATGAAAATGTAAAAAAGCATATTACATCTTCACATGCCATCTGTATTCACTGAATAAAGCTTAGTGACATTATTTGCAAATCTGTAGTTAATTGTACATAGACATTTTGTGCGTTAAAATGAAGTGTACATAATTTAAAATAAATTACATTACACAATTTACAAAGTAATATTAACAAAAACTTCTTAGACAGCTGCCTCCTTATTTAAATAAAATAAATATTCAGGTAGTTAACAAAAAATACACATTTAGGGGATTATAATTTATAGAAAGACAGATTGCAAATTTAATAAAGTTATGTTTTACAATGACAGATACTGATTTCTTCAAATCTCTGTGATAAAAATGGGCAAGAAAAAGTACCAGTAAAGGAATCTAAATGTTTATTTTCTAAAAATAAACATGAACAGACTCCTGAAAAATTATTGGGAAAATTTCACTGGGGTTGAAAAGTAGGCAATCTAGAAACTATCGCATAAAAATAGAAAAAAATATACCCACAAAGCACAACAATAAAACTGGCAATTAAATAAAATGGAGATGTTCTATCACCGAAAACACGGCTCCCACACGCTAAAACTCTTCAATACTGCCCTTTTTAAGATCTGATTTGGTAGAAGCACAAAATGATGAAACTGCAACATTAAACGGATTAATTTCGCCTTTGTTTCACTCAATAATGTAGACATAACCAATTTTCAGTGTCTCTGCTATAGAATGATCATATCACACTGCAAAACATTCTTTTACTAGAAGAATAACTATTCGCTAGGCCCACACTCCAGTTCTAAATTCCTGAGACCCTGTCCTGTGGCCAGGCCCACCTGAGGACAGGACTAAGTGTAGACAGCTGTTACCGAAATGGGCAGATGTTCTCATCTCTACAGGTCTAGGAAAGACCATGCCTGACAAGGTTCCCCACAGATTTGCTCATGGACTACCGTCCTTTCAAAACCTTCAGTCTTAGGGGGGAAACAGAAAAACACATTGGAATTTGGCAATATTTTTTAAAGCAGAGAGCTCCCAGATCATTTGGGAAGCAAGATTCTTGCAAATCTATTTAGACCCCAAATCAGCTTAAGAATGGATGCTTCTTTCTGCTCCGTATTGAAAGGCGCAGGCCTCCCTCACCGTTTGTATGGTGTGGGAAGGGGACCAAGAAGGAGGTAGGAAGTATAGGAGGAGGCTTGGACTGGGTTAAAGCATGTGTAGGAATTCACATTTTTACAGATAAGGACTTTTCTTCTGTTCTGCATGCCTTCCATACCTTCCCTTCCTCCTACCTTCATTTCTTTGACCAGTGCGTTCTGTTCAAGTCAAGATGTTCACTCTGAGTGACACCTTGATTCTTACAGGAAGGATCTGCAGGTATTCTCCTCTTTTTCTCATTAAACATTTCAGCCTGTTTAGTGGAAGGTAGTTCTGAGAATGGTAGACAGGATTAGCTGCTGAGAGAGTGGAGAGAGACCATGCAGAGAAAATCACCAGAAAGGACCAAGGACATAGGTCATCAATGTGTACTTCCTTTAAGAAATAAGAAGTGACTTTACTTGGGATGTCCAGGAACTGCATAGAGTTCTGATGAAGCCACAATGACCATTGCCTCTACACGAGGGTGCAGTAGGGGAGACCAAACTCCAAATAGCATAACCTAAGTCACATTACGCAGGAAAAAAGACTAAGCACATTTAAAAACAAACTTAGAGGAGGGGTCCATGTATTTAAGTGCTATCTTCATTCAAGCATTCTTTCCTTTTTCTGAGTGTCTTAGGAACCTATGTATACAAAAAGCCATAACTAATTATTGTTTACGTTGCCTAAGAGTGTCTTACATGTGTCAATAAATATCTGTCTTGTTATAAGTAATTTGTGCTTTGTTATAAGTAATCAGAAACATGCTTTTATGTATTCCCTTTCGATTAGTTGAAGCTGCACGGTAGTGTCCTCAAAAAGTCTTTGAAATAAAGAGTATGGTCAATATATTGGATTAGGTATAGATGAATAAGCAAATCAGTCCCTTTTAAGAGCGATCAGATATGCCACTTCTATATGGTTTCTATTGAAACAGTTCAACAGTCATATAATACTGGGTCAAATTTTTTCTTTTGTTAAACCAAGCAGACTTTCATATATATAGAACAGTCATTCAAAGTCTTTTTGGGCTCAAAGACTATTTTGGTAAGGCAAAAATGTCAGCTTACTGTCATTAGTAATTATAGTCCCCTCCTGAATTCTTAGAATGAACAGGAAGAATAAGATTTTGATGATATTCCAGTATAATATTTAACTCATTATTGACTCATGCCAGAAACAAAGATAAGCCCATTTTCATGTTATAAACATGAATATAGTAACGTCCCATTTTTCCAAATTAGCCTGATAGCCACACTGCTCTCTTTCCACTTTTCTAACAAGAAACAATCTAGCATTACTTATTTATCCTCACAGTGATCTTCCAACGTGTTCCCCAATGTTAGGACATATTTAACCTAATCTGTTCTGCACATACATACTGTACAAGTAATCAACTTATGAATAAAATATGTATTTTCATAACATTTTATGTTTTTTATCTCAATTCTTACAATATGACACTGATTTGTGTTCTGAATTAGTGACATTTTACAATATATTAAACATAGCTTTAGTGGGAACAATATTTTATGTGCTTCTACATTTCAAAATTGTTAGGCATTGGACACGTTTTATGACTGTTCGCTGAATTTTACAAGTAACTGCAAGAGATTCTTGCTCAACCATTTCGGACAAATGAAGTTTATTTATTCAAAGAGATCAATTTAATTATCTGAAAGTCCCCTGAGTATTTATATTGACAATCACAGTTTTAGAGTAACAGTATTACTTTTGTCCTCCTGTTCAATAAAACAGATTAAGTGGATTTTTGTTTTGATTTTCTTTGTTTAAATCCCTAGTTTAAAAGTAAAGTTCGCTTTTAAATGATTTACATTGCTGAATACAGTGACTACTGAACAAGGGATTTGTGCTTTCTGCATTTAGTTCTTATTGAAATACAAAGAAAACTTTCATTTTGGAGACCATCATATCCTACTCTGATGTCCTTTATAATCTTTGCAAATACTCTAATGAGCAGGGGGAGCCAAACTCCAGCATGAAGGCAAAATACTTTCTAACCCAACCACTTCTACAGCAACACAGCTACATTTAAGATAAAATGGTTTGTTATACTATTATTATTATTTTTTTACCTGAAGACCTAATGTTCTCCTCTCTCCCAGAGGTTGTTGCAATAATGTTACCTGAAAAATGGTATTGCTTTTTAATGGCACCTTTTGAATTTTCTTTTCATAGGAGAAAACTCTGCTAAATTAGATATTGTCCCACTGTGCCATTCCCAGGGCTAAATCTGTTAAAATTATAGTTACTTCCAATACAATGATAAATTTAAAGTATGTATGCTTTCACCTTAGAAATTAAACATTCATTGTAGTCAGAGGGTAAATGAATGAAAACTAAAGATGACACCATATAGAGTTAACATTCAACAAAATCATCTACGGAAAATAAATAAAAAGCAGAAAACAAGAAAGTATATATATAAAGAAAAAATATTTTTGTACAACTGTTAAAAAAAAAAAAGACCCACACACATCTAGACCAGGGGTCAGCATATTGCAGCTTGCAAAAGTGGTCTGCTGGCTGTTTTTGTAAAGAAAGTTTTATTGGAAAATAGCCATTTTCATTTCTTCATTTACTGTGTACAACAGAGTTGAGAATCGGCAACATAGACCTGGCTGAAAATATTTCCTATCTGGCTCTTTACTGAAAGTCTGCCGCCCTTGGTCTAGATATTGAATAAAGCCCTGGACAAGGTACTTATTCTTCTTGTCTAAATATTTTTGTTTTTAAAATCATACATTAAAAAGACTGCTTCAGATTTTACCAATGAGAAAGACAAGAGACCATACATTTTGACATCCTTTTTGCAAGACAGACATTCACTCTGAAACTGGGCAAACAGATCTAGGAGAAAGAAAAATCAACACATAGTTTTGATTTCTTTAGTTACAAAAGTTATTGATACATTATCTTCTCCGTCTGCTCAAAATAAAAAGACAACCAGTTCCTTTTTTTCTTTTCTTTTCTTTTTTTAACAAAGATAACAAATATAAAAATCTAGTCATAAACAGCCTTCAAAGAACAATTACAAACCAACTAGGGGAATTCACCTTCTGGAGGGTTCATGGGTTGGGGACTTCAACACTTAAATTACCGCCATGTTGTCAATTGCACAATGGCTGCAGTGATGAGTAAGTGTGTAGACAGCAAGTGTAACATCTGATTCTATCTTGTTGCCATCCAAATCAAACTTTACTCTCTTCAAGATGCAAGAACTTGCAAATGTCTCCTTGACACTCTCAACACAGATGTCTTCATCCCATGTGAAAAGAGGCAGTTTCTATGGCAATACTGGTTCAGAGCCTATCATGGTACACTAATATAGTGCAAAAATGTGCCTTCCATATAGCAAAAAAGATGCAGGCAACCAGTTTGAAAATTAGGGAAAGTAGAAATGTATTGTATTAACACAAGTAAATTAGTTTTCCATACAATAACAACTATAAAATACTGAACTTGAGGACTCTTTCTTCTAAGATACTAGTACATGTCCAGCATTCGTGCTTTGGAGAGAGACAAGAAGGAAGTCTTAGAAAAGAGTCTTTGTCTCTGAAATACAAGTCAATAAAAGCTACCATCAACCACCAAGATGCTGAATGTATTCAATGCCTTTTCTACCTAGCTTAGAGCTTATTTCTTATTAATTGTTAAAACTGCTTATTAACAAGTACATAATCTGACATAATGTGTATCATTCATTTGAGTATACATGTTGTTACGCTTCACTATAGTATTGTACAGATCTTGGTATAAACTCTTCATGCTAGAAAGTTTTATGGGTCAACACTGCAGATGGTTTTGCCCCAGGCATCCAAAATGGCCAATGCTGCCATTAATTTTAGAGATGAAAGAGTGGTTTTCAGTTGGTAGATTTCAGAAAAGATGACATCAAACTCTCTGAATGCAGCATGTAGTTAACTAAATCTCCTAGAATTCTCAGGATGGATGGTCTTTATGTAAGCCGTACTGTCTTGAATATCTCCAGTGGCAGCAGAACTGTTACTCTTGTCTTTATGATGCTCTTTTAAAAAGTAAAATGCATTTTAATCCACACAGTTTGGATACATTTGTTGTGGCCTCTGGATATCTACTACAAAGTCAGAAAGCCGAAACTAGTTGTTGCCAGGAAAAGATGTATGTTACATGTCTGCATCACCATCATAGGCTAAGGTTAAAGGTTTCAGTCGGTTGTTTTGCCTTCTTTGGGGTTTCTTTGGCTTTTTGCTGTAAAAACAAGATTCATTTAAATGAGGAGAATAAAATCAGTCTTTAATTTTAAATTTGATTGCTTTAAATTTTTAAAAAAAGCAAACCAAGTTGATAGACCTAAATTATCTAATTGCCTACACTACCTAAATTCAGAATTTGATTTTCTGATCTCTTTGAATTTCACAGTTTAATGTTTTGAGCAAACTTTGAATACACTTCAAATATTGTATTATCTTATAAAACATAAATTATCCAAGTGGGATTGTTTTACTACTAACAGCAGAAATAACATCATAATATGATTGTTGTATTTATAATACATAATTTATAAATAATACATGTTTTACAAGATAGTTGAGTAAGATGAGATATTCTCATACTATCTTCCTCTGGTAGTGACACCATATAAAAACCTACAATTCACCATCGGCCATGCAACGAATTCTTTTGATACTTTCAAGAGAATACACTTGAAAATATGACCAGCAGCAGTTCTAGCTCACCTTCAGACATGAATGACTCCAATTTGGTAGATTTGAACTAAAGCCATGCTTTTTAAAAAATAAAAACTTCATGTGAACACTAAAGAAATATAGAATACTTATTTGAGACATTAGATTGCTATTTCTGTGTTATGGTTAATGGAAAGTCTTTTCTCTGATATAGAGACATTGTATACCCCCTAATATTTTTTAAATATTTAAACACTCACCAAGCTAGATAAATCATGGAGACAATAAAGATGAGTAACACAAATGCCCCGGCTGCTACACCATAAACCCAGGTCTTTAGTCTCCCATCTAAGAAGAATGGATATTAGTTATTAATTTACATTAGTCTGGTATAAATGAGACAGGCTTTAACTATGACCAATGATCAACCACATATGACTAATTTCTTTCAAAACTCATAATGAATTACTGCTTCAGCATAGTTAATGATTAATGCAAAGCTGCTATTATGAGTTAGATGCTGCTTCATTAAAGATAAGTTATCTATGAGAATTGAATTGAAAAGTAATAAATAATGTTTAAGTTCATATTTCTAGCTTATATGTCTAAACTTTTGCTGCCTCTTAACCTAATTTTACTTCAAACTCAGTACATGTGTAATACTGTACAAATATTTTCTTATGATTTTCAATGTAGCTTGAGAATGGAAATTACAGGAAAGATAAAAGTAATGCAATTTTTAAAAAGTCTTAAAATCTTGAATTGACGTGTTCATATTTAAACACAAACTTTGTTTTTTACCATTTTTGTTCCAGATGAAATGAAGGGAAATATATTTAATTTTTTGAATTAACAATCTTTTTATTCAGTCTATGCTTATGGTGTGTTCTAAAATTGGTTTGACAATATCATTTTTTAAAAAACCTTTTTTAGCTAATACAAAAAAACTCTAAATAATTTTTTCTATCTTTACTAATGTAGGAGTCAGACATGACAGGGACTTTTCTAATTTGGTTTTCTGGTCTCATGTTCTTTGAAATTCTTGGTTTTAAACTTCAAGCACAAGATGCTATTAATGACACTGCTTAATTTAATTTGATTCTCACATCGACATATTTTCTGCTGCAACCATACCATTAAATATTTGATATTAGTGTTAAAGTTATAGATTGGACAAAATTGACTTTATATAGACTCTAGTTTATTCAATATTTGAAAGACATCAAAAGCAAATTGGTACGGTGGAATATTTTTCACACCTGGATCAAGTTATTTGCTGGAAATGAACTCAATTAATATTCTAAATACTCTTTCCTTTTAACTCTACAGATTTTTTTATTTTTTTAAATTGAACTGAGTTTAAGATCAGAAGAGCTGTTGCCCTGTTGGGTTTCTCGGCCTTGAGAGTTTTTATCAATAAATGTTTTTTGACTTTTTTAAAACCAAAGATGTCTCAGTATAATTTTTCAGAACCCTTTTAATATATTTAAATGCTCACTTTGGAAAAACTATATATTAAATTAAAAATAATGACAATAATATTCTCCTTCTTAAAAAAAAAAAACAACCTGATTTTGATGTGAGGAGAGTTGCTTGAATTCTTGGCCAAGGTCAAGATTGCTACTGGTTATTCGCTGGCCAGCTATTTTGAACACCAAGAGAAGAGTTCCCCATGCTTACAGACAAAGCATCTTTGCAAAATAAATTGTATCTTCCACTAAAAAGCTACTCAAGGTAAGGATAATGTGATTAAAAGTTAATCATCCAAATATTTAAAATACCTTAAAAATTCAATACTGATTCTCCAATAAGGGAGAGTACTTTGGCTTAAAGTATTAGATATGGAGATGAGCTGGCTATGCAAATTCCTTCCCTCCTAGCTCATGTTTCTAATGGAATTACAGAGTAGCTGATGCCTGGGAACTTCCTTTGCTCCTGAGTTAGTAATTCCTCCAGGGTGTGAGCAAAGGTGGCATGATCTTAGCGGCCATACAGCCCTTGCAGTACATTTTCAAGCACCTGGTTAGTTCCAGGGATGAGCATATGATTAAATCCAGATGGGGAGAGAAAGTGCACAGAGCAGAGAATAGCATTTCATCGGGCCTTCGAGCGTTAGCCTGTATGGGCTTCAAGTCCATTACTGGATACACTGAGAGCTGTTTATTGTAAAAAAGGTCTGATCAGCCTCCAGGTTTGGATCATCCCATGGAGAAGGGAAGTCTCCATGCTGCCTTTGTGTATTTGGCACTAGTACAGATTCTGACTATTTGAGTGAGCCAGCTCTCAGGGCTGATATAAATTGGACGGGTCACCACACACCTCCTAGCATGGGACTGCATCCGTGATGTCCCGTTTAAAGTTCAAGCTATCACTATTCTTATGATCAAACTAAAAATTCTAGAATGTCTTTATAGTATCCTTTGTCCCATTTCTGAATGACAACACATTTTCTCCCTAATTTGTAGTTTCATTTTTGTTCATTTTGAAATTAATTGTACTTGCAATTTTTGGACTGGAATTGCACTCAAGTAAATCCTAGGACTTTGCTCAGAAAAAAAGTAATTTCATTTCTGTGCACTTTGAGCAAGAGAGCTTTTTTCATACTAATAGTAAGAAATACAAGACTAGCTGGTAGTATCAGAATAACTGCCGGTCGATGAAAACATAGATAGCTCAAATGAAAAGGTCTGCTCACTTTTTTCATCCTTTGGTATCAGCTAAATGTACAACTAAAGAATTATTTCTATACCAACGCTGTTTAGACACTTCACCTGGTCCAAATGGTTGTAGAAACCAGGTCCTTCCCCGTCCTACTGGGTTGCTGGAGGTTTGGGTTGGATGTACCGCCCGACTCGTTTTCACATCTCTTTTGTCCTCCACGGTGGGTATCACCACCACGGGGATAAGTGTGCACTGCTCAAGGGTACTATTAGAAGACATGACTTCAGTGTATCCTTCTTCACAATGGCATGTTTTTGTCTGTGGGAGAACAAGAAGATTCACAATAGCCACTCAAGGTAATCTTCGAAAGCACAGCAGACCCAGCTGGAGACAAGGCTCTAATCAAGGACTGTTTGGGGAAATTCCTACATGTAATTTCTGTTTAACTATGTAAGAAAAACAACATACTTTTGGAATTATACACAAATGTATTCTAAGAGGGAAAGCAAGTGCATTCAGAGTTGTCTACAGTGATAAAAGAACACAACTAAAAATAGACGTTTCGTGCGTCTCGACAGGTTTTTTGGGGGGGTTGCATAAGGGACAGTGGGGGGACACATGACGCAGCTGGCATGTCTGCCCTGCTGAATTCACACATACCTCGCTACAGTACGAGTGGGGCTGGCTACATGGCGGGTTACAAGACCTGTCGGCATCAGGCTGGCTCACCACCAGGCAGCCTCCTGCAGAACAGAAAATCATGTTTTGACAAACAGTAACTCTTGCTATGATAAAGATGCACTATTGTTGGCAATGTGTCTTTGAGTCTTGTACAGCTTTGGGAATCCCACGGATGTTTCTGTTGGTGATTGACCGTGAAATGCTTTGGGAACCTTGACCACTGGGTTCAGCGACTTGAGGCCCTTCTCACCCAGGGGAGACAGCACAGTGCCCGGTACTTAGCAGATGTTCAATATGAATTTGTTGAAAGGATAGTTCTATTGCTGCTATTTGGAAAATACTAATCACACACAGCCATTTCTGTCAGGAGTTCCCGAAACTAAGTCCTGCAAATTCTGCAAAGCAAATTTAATTTTCTTTTAAAGTTAAAATTTTTTCTTGGAGATTGAAAGCAATAATTTTCCTGTCTCTTGAGATAACTCTTTATGTTAAATAAATGTATTTTTTAAATAATATGTATTTCTTTTGGAGAAAAATCACTGTTTTTGCTAACTTAAGGTAGGTATTCTTTGGGTATCAAGAAGAAAACACATGTAGCTACCAAGTCCTTAGTTTTGCATGCCTGTTTTTACTTGATAATAGAGCCATTTATCATTCTTTTTCTTCTTTGTTTTCAAGTATGGTCACAACTGTGACTACGCTGTTGTAAATGAGGTTTTAAGATAGGAATACATGACATAAAGGGCCACTGGTGATGTGACAGAAACCCATATTTTCAAACTATACTGTTCAGCTTAACGGAATTTTAGCAAAACAAAGTTTTTCTTTATTTATAGAACTGATAATTCATCTGAAATTTAATCAAAGATGCCTATTGCTAATTCTTAGTCTTTTTCTCAATATTACAAACTCAAAATATTCATGGAAAAGTTGTTATGGAAAAGTAGTCATTGCAAGCTAACTGCAGTTAAGTGGCCATATTGAAGTTAATATCATTAAACACACAATGGAAAAGAAAAGCAATATTTTGGGTCTTTTACAAAGACGATTTATAAATTAACATATTGATCAAGGTAAGATTCCTTTGCACACTTGCCTCTTCCTTATAAAGAATCTCATCTCTTCTAAAAGTTGAAAGAAGAATGCATATAGAGTTTATCACAAATCATTAACACATTTTTTTTTTTGGTACCAAACAGTCTTAGAAACAAATATATTGGACACTTTGCTTTATAGGAAAAAAATTAAAAATATGATCTCTACAGGCGAGTCTTTTAAAGTTTGGCTTACTGTTGCATTGAGGAATAACGCCAATTGCAGTGGGAGAAGAGCTTTAAACATTTAGGAGAGAAGGCAGATAAAAATTATCTGCATCCATATTTGGGAAAAAACGTGAATGTATAGGATGCTCTGGGAAGGCTGTTGAGGTTCTTCAGAATAGTTTAAAGAGGATTGGAGACATTCATTTCCCATCTCTGAGCTGAACAGATGACCCTACCATACCTCCTGGTTCAGAAAGCCTGGGCTTCCCTGTCCAGGCCTCTTCTTACCCCAGACCTCTCAGAGTGCGGTGGCAGAAACATAATACTGTGAGAGAGCAAAAGGTTTCCCTGTAGTTATCTTTTCTTTGTTAGTACATGTCCTCAGGGAGGAGTTGCTTTTACCAAGGATTGCTTGATGCAGCTTTCTCATGTAAAAAATCATTCTTTCACACACACACAATTGACTTCCTGATCCAGCTTCCAGAAGGAGGAAATAACCAATTAGGATTCAGTAATTCCAGGTAATTTAAAATTCAATGTAAAAATTGATAGTTTTCAAAAACTGTATTGATCCCTGTGACTGCTATCTTACTGTATACATTAAAGTTAAATTTATAAATGGGCATTACTCAGAGGTAGCCGAATGCACATTACTTTTTCTCCCCACAGGAGACTCAAAGCGCTGCCACAAGTTTGCAGGTCCCTGAGCAGCCATCGGTCAACACTCCTGCTGCCGTTGCTATAGAGATTCCTGTCAGGTCTAGAAAGATAAAGTTTAAGGAGAGGTAATTTGGGGGCCCATGTGCCTGAGGCTGAGGTTCCGGTTCTGACTTTCATTCCTTTCTAGAAAAAATTTGGGGCGATTCACTAACACATCTGAAGTCAAAGTCTTATCCCCCTTCAAGGAATAACAGGGACCCCTTGCATTGACTGAGCTCAGATAGAGAAGCTTTTGGTAATGGCAGATTAGAGCAGTTCTCTGGAGGTGTATTTGGTCGAAGTACAATATAAAAAGTTCTTCCTTTGGATTTCTTCTTGGGATGAATCACAATTTTGAATGACGGCATGTAAATAAGCTGCTCAGATGGTCTGAGTTTGAGATTTACCAATAGGTCTTCTCTATTGTTTAATAAGAATGCCTCTACATCATAGATTTTTTGAATCCATGTAAGATATTTAAATTTGTACCATCAAACTCCTTTGGTGGTATTTTTGGCCTGTGTTTGTACTTGGTTCAGAAGGCAAAGAAGCAGAAACAGTAAAAAGAAAACCCTGATTTTTAAAAACATAATTAGTTGTTCATACATAAAATTTATAGAAAAAGTAATTTGAAAATTATTTACTTATAATCATTTATTAATGTTAAATGGTATTTTAATTAAAGAAGCTCCAGCAGCAATATCTAAAAGTACGAGGCAAGAGATAACTTGAAACATACAATACCATAATTTGTCATTGGTCACCAGATGGGCACACAGCTCAGGAGTCCTGAATTCTAACCCCGTGTTGAATACTAAAAGATTATCTTCATTATGTTCTTTAACCAATTATATGTGTGCTATAAGACGACGTCCAAAGAACAAAGAGAAGTTGGAGGTTTACCTGTTACATTTACACCATCTGATCTTTGACACCAGACTGTTCGGGAAGCCCCCTTCCAAGCACTGGCCATCCACTTATATTCATAACACTGTCCATCTGCAGGGACATGAGAGACATTAGTAGATGCCTTCTGTTGCCCAGAAGGGCAATCAACGGAATGGAGTATTCATAAAAAATTTACAAGTAACGGAAAAGTGATAAGACACTCATCCCTCATGATTCAAATGTCAATTTATTGTCCTGAAGCTGCCATGTAAATATTATAAAACTGCAGTTATCAACCTAAAGCCTAACTCATTTTCCATGTCTGCTGACATTCTGTCTGGTAGGAACTTGGGTTTTCCTTTAATTTTTAAAAAATATGATGAAATATGTAACATACAGATAGGTATGGAGAATAGCTATAAATAAAACATATATATTTACTTATTCATCATGGAATTTTAACAAATATTACCATTTAGCCATATTTACTTTAGTTTTCAGTTGTTTATTGGTGAATAAAACATAAAAGAAACGTTCCATTATTGATGTCCCATTATGTAATTTTCTTTTTTTGTTTTGTTTTGTTTTTTAGGTGTTTTTTTTTTTTTGAGTTGGAGTCTCACTCTGTCGCCCAGACTGGAGTGCAGTGGATGCTCCCGGCCACCGCAGCCTCGGCCTGATGGGCTCCGGCGATCCTTCCGCCTCAGCCTTCCAAGGAGCTGGAACTACAGATGCGCGCTGCCACGCCTGGCTACTTTTTGATTTATTGTAGAGATGAAGTCTCGCCAAGTTGCCCAGGCGGGTCTCGAACCTGCGGGCTCAGGCAATCCACTCACCTCAGCCTCCCAAAGCGCTGGGATTACAGGCTGAGTTACTGAGCCCGGCCATATTATTTTCTTATTTGATATCCTTTCTTATCTGTCCAGCCATACATACTATTATGAAGTAGATGTGTGACTTTCTTTGCCATGCTTTTAATTCTTTCACTATATATATGTGTGGGTATATATATATATATATATAGTATAAATGACGTACAGTACTATTGTTATGCAGTATGAAAAGAAAAAAATCCTATTCTTGTATCATTCTGACACTTTATAGTCAGTGTTATGGCTGAAATATTTCTGTGTGTTTTTTTTTGTCGATACAGTCAATTTATTTTAACTGTTACACAGAATTCCATTGTACTAAATACTACAATTTATGTAGCTATTTTCTCTGTTAGGTTATTTTTAATTTTGCTATTCGAACAATGCCATGGTGGTCAACCTCAAGTAAGTCTCCAGGTAATCACTTAAGATAAATATCTAGAAGGGAAATTTCTTTGTATCATTGTAAGGATCACTGAAACTTTACTAAATATTCTTTTTTTTCTCCAAAACGTGACAATTAACCCATCCACCAGCAGTGGACAAAGATCACCATTGCTTTAATCACTCACGAAGATTTATAATTGCCAGATTTTAATTTTTTTGTCAGTCTTGTTGGTATGGAAAGGAATCTTGTCATTTTAAATTGAGGCTCCTTGACTGCTAAAGCTATTAAACAGTAACAAATGTGTTGGGACATTTAGGACCTTTGAATTTCCTCTTATGTAAACTGCTTATTTATTTATTTTGACCTTTTTTTTCCCTACTGCCATCTATGTTTTTTTCTCATTGAATTGCATAAATGCTTTATTCTAGAATAACAATTCTCAAAGTGCAGCTCAGGGACCCTGGGAGACCTTGACCTTCTTTCAGAGTGCATGTGAGTATTTACCCTTTGCAATAACATATTTGTGTGAGCAAAGCTGAATGTTCATCATACATGTGCATGAATATAAGATTGCAATAGATTGAACACTATATTGCTTAAGTCAGACTTTATAGAGATTTGCAAAATCTAAACAAGAGAACTCTTGTCATTGAAGTTTTTTTATATAAAGCAGTTATTTTTTCAGAAATACAAGAGGGGACCCAAAGAAACAAATTTTTTTGGAGGTTGGGTCCCTTGTAGTACATGCTTCCTCCTCTGGGTAAGTGTTCTAGGAACCCATCAGCCTCAGTGTACCACCTAGGGTTGTTGGAAGAGGTTGCATTCAGCTTCAGTGAATTTTTTTTTTGAGATTCTTTCAACACGTTTGCCCATTTTATGATGGGTGATTTATGAGTGCACCTGCCCACACCATGCTGAATGTTCAGCGGTTTTTTCCTAAAAATGACATGGCCCCTGTGTCCCACCTTGCCAGTTCAACTGATCTTCCCCCAGTGACTTATTTTGTTTCCTTGTATGAAAAAAGTTCTCAAAGGGTAATGTTTTGCTGATGTGAAAAAGGTGAAACAAAAGACAGCAGAAGCACTAAAAGGCATCCAAATTGACAAGTTCAAAAACTGTTTTGAGTAGTGGAAAAACATCTTGATAGGTGTATCGCATCAAACAGATAGTACTTTGTAGGTAACCAAAGTTTAAACATGTAAGAATAAATACACAAGTTTTTATAAATAAATTCCAGGTTTTTTTGAGTCCCCCTTTGTATGCTATTTATGGTGACATGCAATTGGTTTATAATTGTTATTTTAATAAATAATAATAAACATTAAAAGTTAATCCATTTTCATTTAAAAGATTATATAAAAGGAAAGCTCTTTGGGATCTTCAACAATTTTAAGACTTTGACATTTTAGATTTGCTATCGTAGATACCAATCCTTTGAAAGTAATTGGTTTCACAAGTATCTGTTCTATATGTGGCTTGACTTATAACTTTGTTTAAGATCTATTTTACTGTGTAGAAAATTTAAAGTTTAATTGAGAATAATTTTTCATTTTTTCCACTTTTGTTTGTGCATTTGGTATTGTATTTTAGAAGCCTTCTCTGACTTGAATTCATAACAATATTCTCTCATACTTTCTTTAAGTGTTTGACAGTTTTCTCTTGACCTTTAGGTCTACAATTTACCTGGAATATAGTTTTGTATAGACGTAAGCTAAAGATAATTTCAAAAACTTGATATGGATAACAAATTGTGGCAACATTATTCACTCACCCCTTGCCCCACTGACTCTCTGCCTGTTACTTACTGTATGAGAATTTATCTCTGAGTTTCTCTCCATTGTTCCATCAGGTTCATTTATTGATTATTGGACAATTGCTCTTTCTGTTAATGCTTTAGTGTAAGTCTTGATGTAAAGCCAGGTAGGTACCTTAAATTTCTCCCCACTTTTCCTTAAAAAACATTCTGGGTTCTTCTTGGTTTTTAACCCCTCCAAGTTAATGTTAGGATCAATATCTCAATTAACAACCTAATCAAACCACATAGAGTTTCTAGGTAAATTTATGTAAAATTCACACGTTATGGGTATCGAGGCTTATTATTCATAAACATGGTTTGTTTCACCAATGTTTCAGTTCTTTCTATATGTGTTCCAATACAATTTTATAATTTTTTCCCATTATCTTACATAATTTTTGTTAAGTTTATTTCTTATAGTTTTATTGTTAAGGCAAGTTTTTCTTTTTTCTAATAAAGTTTGAAAACTGGGTCTTGCGGGTAAAAGAGAGACTAATTATTTTGTGTTGGTTTTTAAGTTTTTAAATTGTACAATGTTTCTAAACTCTCTTCTTACTTACAAATACATGTCTATAAATTCCCTTGAATTTTTAAGTGTGAAAATCATTATATGAAAATGATAATTGTATTTTTCATTTTCAATTATTAAACTTCAGACTATGTTTTAGCTAGAATCTCCTTTACTAGGTTGTAGAGAAGTGGCCATAGTGGGCATCCTTGTTGTGTTATTGACTATTTAAAAAAAAAAAGCCTCTAATGTTTCCCCATGTAGTTTCCCCATGATGTTTGCTGTAAGTTTTGGTAAATATCATCTATGGAGTAAAGGAATTTCCTTCTAGTCCAAATGTGGGTTTACGAAGATTGAAGATTGAATTCTGTAAACACCTTTTCAGCACATGTTAAAAATCATATCCCTTTTTTTCTATTAATTGATGAACTGCATTAATAGATTTTTCAAGTAATTGAGCATCTTTGTGTTTCTAGAATCAATTATTATTAGTCATGATATTAATTATCTATTAAATATGTTATTGATTTGGTTAGTTGATTTAAAAAAACGATTTTGTCATTTGTTTTCATAGGTAACTTTATTTTTATTGATTTGTTTTAGTCAAGGTTATACTATCACAGGAGTTGGGAAGGTTTTCTTCACTTTTTTCTCACTCAACTTTGTGCTGTTTTCTTAGGAGTCCACATAAATAGGAGTTGTCCTTTTTTTTGGCAAAACTCATAATTAAAACCATTCAAATTTTAGTTTATATGCATGTGTGAGTACATATTTGATAAATTTGAAAATAGTTATAGAATCCATGGTATAGGTCTTCTATTAATCTTGATGAATTATAACATTCTAAATTGTCTTCATTTAAGTTTTTACGTTAGCAAAAGCTATGTATATTTTAGGAGCATAATTTTCTAACCTCTTTCTTTTATTAGTAGTAGTGCCAACTCTGTTCTTGTTTTTTTTTCATTGATTTTTACCTTGAGGTGGTCTACTTGGCTAGTTTGCTAAAAAAAAAAAAAAAGCTATTTATTTTGTTGATTATTGTTTCTTAACTTTATATCTCCTTACATTTGTATTTATCCACATTGGATACATGCTATTTCATTGTTACTAAAAAAAATTCCTGAGTTGAAAACCTAACTCATTTAAGACTTTCTTCCTTCTATATAAGCCTTTAAAACTTCAAGATTTTCCCTAAGTACTTCTAAGAGTACTGTTGCATTCAATTTAATGTTTAATACATATATCTAGCAGTGTAGTTTTCCTTTGTAATTGTGTTATTGATTTCTAATTTTATTTCATTGTCGTTTTGTGGTAAGCAATTCTCTTTTTTGCCTTGGGAGCTATTTCGTTTATTATAACCCTTGACTTTACTCTTTACCTACTCTGTCCTAGGCACATGGAGTGTTTCATCTAGTTGGCAAATTTGGGACGATTAAGCTGACAGATGGGTAACACTACCTAATTTTTGGATTAAGTCATCTAGCCCATTTGGTTTTCATTGTAAGTGCTCTCCTCCAACATTTTAAGCTTTCTCCTCCAGCTTTTCAGTAAGTAAGGTGATATTTTTTCTCCTAGTTGCTATTCTGAGTCATATTTCTTAAGTTATTTCATGACACAAGCAAAATAAAAGGGTTGTCGGTTGAGTTTCATATCCTCCGCTATATATCAGCTTTTTTGTTTTCATTGAGACATCTCTTGTGTGGTTCCCAAACACTGACATTTAATGCTCTGTGGTCTTTGAATACGTCATGGGTTACCTATATTGATTGAATGTGTATACATACACACACAAACATATAAACACATGTGTTTATATATACTCTATGTCAAATTTAAATTATTAATTTTTACCAATAACTTGATTTATAAATTTCTGAGACTATAGTAAAATCTTTCATTTTGCTGAGGATTTGTAGTTTTTCTTTAATTCTGTCACTTGATTTAAATGAATTGAAGATATTGTTAGATTCATTCCTGATCGTGATTGTTATAGGTGCATAAAAACGTGCCCCTAATTATGCTAGCTAATAAAACTAAGAAGCATCTTTATAATATTTCACATCTAATTTAAGAGGTGTGGCAGGATCTTTCCTCCTCTAAATGTTTAACATTTAGAATCACACCCTTAATTCAATTCTCTGCCTTAAGTGAGATCTTAGTACATTTGCTTAAGAGAAAATTATTTTTATGCTTTTGCTTATCAACACAAAATAAAAATGAATAGATTTCATGAATAGTAGTACTCACCATCACATGATTTTGTTTCTAACATTTGCTCTGGGCACAGATGCTGATTCTCCAGCTCTTGTATAATCACTGCTCTGGATCGAACCTGTATTCCACCAAGGCCCAGATCCTCACCATTCACACAGGTCAGTTGACACAGGCTCCATGAAGACCAGTCCTTCAAGTAACAGTCACCTGCAAAACACAGTTGTGTAGTTTATACCCACAACCAAAAAGAAAAGCCAACCAGATAGTCATTTTAATTCTAACTCCACTGGGCAACGCTGTAGGTTTGACAGTCATATATAATATTTGTAAGATTTAAATAAACATTTAGACTGGGTGTGGAGGCTCATCCCTATAATTCCAGTCATTTAGGAGGTCAAAGTGGGAAAACTGCTTGAGGCCAGGAGTTTAAGACCAGCCTGGGCAACATAGTGATACCCCATCTCTTCCAAAAAAATTTTTAAAAATTGGCTGGGCATGGTGGTACATGCCTATAGTCTCAGCTATTTGGGAGGCCGAGAAGGAAGGACTTTTGAGTCCAGGAGTTTGAGGTTATCGTGAACTGTGATAGGGCTACTACACTCCAGCCTGGGCAATAGAATGAGACTCTGACTCAAAAAACTTTTTTTTATAAATAAGCATTTAATATTTGCAAACTCAGATGCCATTTTATAAGTCTGTATAAATGTTTTTTTTTCTATGTGGCTGTCAGTGGTCTGTGTGCTGTTTAATGATATCAAATATCAACTATGGCTTAAAGGAGCTTGTCCATTACAACTCATTTCCTCTTAGGACACAACAAATATTTGATTAAAACTTACCACACTCGTATCATCATCATCATAGTAAAGAGGTTTATTAAGCACTTAGTACTAGTCAAAGAAAACCTAAATATATACACAAATTATCTTCTGGGTAATTCCTAATTTCAAAAGAGCTTGAAGTCCAAGACTGACAAACTGGTATTTGTGCTCCATTGCTATTTCTTCCCAGAGAGGTGGAGATGAGAAAGCAAACTGAGCAGCTGCATACTAGAAATAATGTCTTATTTCCTCTGATCTATATTTTCAACCAACTTCCTTTTTTCCCCCCCTCAGAGTTGAGGTCTCACTCTGTCGCCCAGGCTGGAGTGTAGGCACAATCACAGCTCACTGCAGTATCGACTTGAGCTCAAGCAATCCTTCTACCTCAGCCTCCTGAGTAGCTGGGACTACGGGCATGCACCATCACGCCCCGATAATTTTTTAATTTTTTTTGTAGAGATGAAATCTTGCTGTGTTACCCAGGCTGGTCTCAAACTCCTGGGCTCATGTAATCCTCTGGCCTCGGCCTCCCCAAGTGCTGGGATTACAGTTGTGATACACTGTATCCGGACAGCTTAACATTTTTAAAAAAATTGTTTGTTGAAGAATAATAAACATGCAAGATGACCACATATCATAAATGCACAGATAGTTGAATTTTCATAGTCTTATTACATAACCATGTAATCAACACTCAAATCAAGGAACAGAACATTCCCAGAATCTCAGAACCTTTCTTCACACTGTATATGAAATTGTACCACAGGTAATGGTTTGTATGTGTAGCTCCTTATTTACATTTGTGGGAGCCATCATATATTTACATAGTTATAATTTGTTCATTCTTACTGCTGTAGTACTTTATTCCATTGTGTGAATATACCACAATTCAGATGTCAATTCTACTACTGGGCCCGTGGGGAGTTGAACATTTTTCCTATTTACACTGTTGTGAACATTTCAGTACTAGACTTTTGATGAACTTATATAAGCATTTCCATTGGGTAAACACCTAGGAGTGCAATTGTTGGGCCACAGTGTCCATGTGTTCAATACCCTCAGTCATTTTAAGAACAGAAAAGATTTAATGAAATACACCTTTTCCAAATACCCACCATTCTTCAGGACTGACTGCTTGGTGACACTGTTTAGAGCACACAGTTAATTATGACAGACACAAATTCTTAAGGGCTTCTTATCACTTAATTATTTTAGCCATGCCACATAAATAATTCATATAGCCTTATATTATGCTGAAGATGACTAATATTAGCACAGAGTTGCCTGGAGATCTGATTAATGGAAAAATTTCTTATGTCGTGATTATGAAGTCCTGGGGAGACATGAATTATTGACTAACAGATACATATATAATAATAAAGTGACATGATTATAGAATGTCATGGGTACTTCTGATGTACAAAATTCTGGTAAATTTTAGAAATGCTAAGAACAAGAAACTAGTAAGAATTTAAAGTCTAAGAAAGTTTTAGAAACATGTCTGTCCCTTAGGAAATGCCACTTTTGGGTTTCTCAGTTTTTAATTATGCAGATGATTTTTGTAGGCTTTTATTAGAGAATGTCATTAGAACTTCTGGTATATAGAAAATTCTAGTAAATTTTTGAAATGCTAAGAAGCAAGAAGCTAGCAAGAAATTAAACAGTCTAAGAAAGTTTTAGAAACATGTTTATGTCCCCAGGAAATGCCATTTTTGGTTACTCAGTTTTAATTATGCAGGAAAAACTGTGAAAATAAAAAAAAATTCTTGTTAGCATGGGTGTAAATATAACTTTACCTCAGTGACTGCAAACTACATGGAAATAAAACATTTTTTTAATAAGTAGGCTTTATCTCTGTGGTTACTCACATTTAACATAATTTATTTTGCAACAAAACTCAATAAATCTTTTAATGGTAGTCTGTGAGTTACATAATTATCACCCCAAAATAATCCATGTCAGACTTCAGCGATGTAATAACAACAAATGAGAGTGAAGCACTTCCTTGGACTACACATACTTTTATATTTTAACTGTGTAAACTATTGTGATAATAACAAAATTACACTATGTCTGCCAAAGACATGGCAACCAAACACATGAAATGGATTTCCTAATTCAGTATTGTCCTCTTTAAATCTTATTAGTTCACATATAGCTAGCTTTCAAAACCTCTCATTAGAGAAAACTAGCACAAGAGGAGTCAGAATGAATAGACTATAATATATAAAGAAGAGCAACCTCCTCCTGGATTTGAAATTACTTTCATTAAAATGGTGTTTGCCCCCTTCTATGTTACCATGGGATCCTGTAATTTTCCTTCCTATCATTCACCACAAATTAGAATCTTATGTTTATTTATGTCACTATTAGATCAGCAACTGTCTCTTCCATTAGAAGGCAAGCTCTATGAGAATGGGGTCTGTGGGTCTCCGCTGCATCTCCAGCTGCAAGTCCAAGGTCTGGCTTATAATTATACTTGATACCTGAAAGTCAATGAAAACAAACAAGGAGACCCTTAGTAAGGCACACACCCATGTCTGGCAAAGTTCCCAGTTCTTCTCAGGGCATGGGTGTCAGCCATATCCAATTAATGGTGTGGAGATGGCTTATAAGCCTTCTAAATTCGAGCCTTGGTCACTTTTTTGTTACCTCTACGGCCATTCCGTACATCAAAGTCCAAAGGTGCCGTCCTTAACCCTGCCCAGAGCCCTGGCCTGCTGCCAAAGCCCCCAGCGGGGTCTGCTGTGAAGCTGAATGATTTCATTGAATTGAATTGTGTGTGAGATCTTGAATGAGATCAGGCCAGTTTCAGGGGCAGGAAATAAAACAGGGGAGTTGCTAGATCAGCAAAAGGTCATTATCACAGGTCTAAGAAGAAACACTTTGCTTAGTTCTAGAAAGTCATGTTTTATTTCATTGTGGTAAGACCAGTTTACATTTGCTATTTGTGATTTACCCTCTTGACACATTTTTAAGTGTACAATATTGTGTACTATAGACATGGTGTTTTACAGTGGTTTGGTCGAATTCATTCACCTTGCATACCTGAAACTTTATACCCATTAGAGAGGAGATGCTATTCAGAGTTTTGTTTTTTAAAAATTATTTTATTTTTTGACCTGAAGTAGATGAAGATATTCCTGGGTGAAAAGACCAATACTATAGTTGTATGTCCTTAAAGTCTAGAGGTTTGTCCTCAAAGTCTGTCAGAGGTTATTTTATTTATTTTTCTGTTTAATTTTATTCATTTATTCTTAATAATAAACTATAGATTGTTATTATCATCTCAGATAATTTTTTACTAAGGAATGAGGACATTGATGAGTGAATAAATGTGTAACTCACATTATTGAATCTTCCAGCTTTTAGGGACTCAATTCTAATACTTTTTTTAGCTTTTTTAAGAAATATACTTTGTCCATCTTTAAACTTTTCTGAAATCATAATCCTTTTATACAGAAAATATATTTCTCATAGGGGTTAGGTGGTATCTCAATGTGGTGCTGATCTGCATTTCTCTGATGATGAGTGAGACTGAGCACTTTTCCATGGGTCTGTTGGCTGCCCGTATATCTTCTTTTGAGAAGTGTCTATTCATGTCTTTTGCCCACTTTTTAAAGGGGTTGTTTTTTTTTTCCTTTCAGCACGTTTGAGTTCCTTGTAGATCCTAGATGTCAGGCCTTCGTCAGATATACAGTTGGTAAATATTTTTTCCCATCCTGTGGGTCGTCTCCCTGCTCTCTTGATGGTTTCTTTTGCTTTGTAGAAGCTTGTTATTTTGATGAGGTTCCACTTGTCTATCTTATTTCTTAAGGTATTGACCTTTAGGGTTCTGAATAGGAATTGGTTCCCAGTTCCAATCTCCATTGTGGCGATTTCTGAAAGAACTAGAAATTGACCTTCCATATGACCTAGCAATTCCCCTACTGGGAATATACCTGGAGGAACTCAAATATTTCTGCAAAAAAGATACCTGTACACATATGTTTGTTGCAGCTCTACTCACAATAACAAAAACATGGAACCAATCCTGTTGCTCATTGAAGCTGGAATGGATTTTTAAAAATGTGGTACATATACACAATGGAATATTATGCAGCCATAAAGAAGAACAAATATATGGACTTTGCAGCAAATTGGATGGATTTGGAGTCAATCAGACTCAGTGATTTATCACAGAAACAAAGAACTAAGTTCCATACGTTCTTACTCATAAGGTGACCTTGAACAATTATAATGCAAGCGATTGGCAGAAGTAGAAAACTGTCAGGGGAGGGGGGTGGGACTGGCAGTTGAGGGAAACTGCTAGGGGAGGAAGGGGCATACCTCACCAACAAGGGTACCTGTATAATCGATGTTTATATACTTAACTCTTAATTGTACCCCACAGCTTTATAATAAATAAATAAATAAAATTTTTTAAAAAGTAAAAAAAAAAAAAGAAAATATATTTAATGCCTGATCATTAATTTTTTTTGCTGATCCTTATTTTTAATTTTATTGAGATCATATTCAAAGAACTCAACATTTAAAAATAGGTGTATTTTTCTTTTCATATAAGCAAATTGAAAGAATAAAACTTTTTTTTTTTTGAGCTGGATTCTCACTCTGTCGCCCAGACTGGAGTTCAGTGGCACGCTCCCGGCCACCACAGCCTCACCCTCTGGGCTCCGGTCATCCTTCTGCCTCAGCCTTCCCAGTAGCTGGAACTACAGGCAAGTGCTACCATGTCTGGCTAGAAAGAATAAAACTTTCCATTTGGAAATAAAATATAGATAATTCATTTCCAAGCGTGTTAATTTCCAGTCCACTAATAAATTGTTGCCTTCATATCTTTCTTAAGGATGGGTTTCCTAGCTTATTTGGACCTTGAATTTCCCCTACTGTTCTCTGCATCAAGCCCAAGTTTCTAACTTTTAGCTTATCATCATTTGCCAATTTTTTCTGTACTATTTGATACACAACATTGACTTTCTACTTTTTATTGCATGTGCCCATTGTGCCCAACATTGAATATAAATAATATTTTTCAATATATTCTTCCATGCTATTATTTTGTCTTCCAGTTGCTGGTAATCTGATTTTTTTTTTCTTGCTCAATGCTTTTTTGATTCTCTATTTTTCAATATTTAATGTTTTAACTATAGCACATCTTGGTGTGAGTTTGTTATTGATTCTACCCAGGACCTAGGATGAGCTGTCATTATGAGGACTTAAATCTTTCTTTAGCTGTTATGTGTTTGAATATTGCCTTTCCCTTTTTTTCTCTGTTCTTTCCTCCGGAAATCCCAAATAGGTTATGTTTAATCCTTATTTTCCCAACCTTTATGTCATACTTTTCCTGCATAGCATGGGCTTAATGCCCTAATTACCATCCTCTGTAGATGTTAAAACTCCAGAGGGGTGTCAAGAGAGGCTACGGGGCAGACCCGGACTTCACCCCTACCTGGCTGTAACGAGACAGCACCCCTCTTCACAGTTTCTGACTTTGACTGTTGGCAAAGACATTATTGAGTAAGAAAACTGATGACATCCCTTAATTTGTAACACATACCATACGCCACCTCCTCTTGACCCCATTTCTAGGAATAAATCACCAATATATGAGTTCTGTGTTGCTGTAGTTACCTGGGCAAGGCTGGGTGCAGGTTTCCTCCAGAATCATGTTTTTATTACCATCTACCATGGGTTCAATGTTAGCACAGAACTCCTCATCCACCACTTTGCTAAAGTCATCAACTGACCCATCACTCACTACACAAGAAATATTCCTTGTTCTTGTCCCTTCTCCACACTGGGCTTCCTGGAATGGAGGAAGAAACAACTAATTAGGAAAGAAGAAATAATTCATTAGAGAACTCATCACTTACAGTCATCTCTGCACCATTGATTTTGATTTATGAACAGTTAGAAAAGCATTTGAAACCCTAGGGAGGAAGCCCTACAGGGCACTAGCAATAAAGCATACACTGAACAATTTATTTGTTTTCTAGCCAAAGACAGGCAAATAAATTTTCATTAAAATGAATCCGTCTCCAGATGATTTTAAAAGTACAGGGCAGGGAATGTTTGTTATCAAACAAATTAAATGGTTATAAAATGGCAAGGCACTTAAAATCTTCAAGAGGAAGCTTATTATTTGTAAGCTTTAAAAATATGTCTGAAATCGAGTCTTTGCGGAAGAATACACACTTGCACATGACTTCCCAAGATCTGATACCTGCACTTGGCATGGAGACCACTGGCCATATTGCCACCGATAACAGGGCTTCACTGGGCAGGGTTTGGACTGGTCCATCAGGGAAGGGCACGGTCTTCCATCACCCTGAAAGGGCTGGGTCACTGTTCGTTTTCGGATCATTTTTCCTTTAAGAAATACAAAGTGATGCCACCTTAGTGATCTGTTGTAGTTGTGTAAGTATATATCTTATTGGGAGAAGGCATCACAGTGATGTCTCCCAAGGATATCCAGGAACAAGTAAGGCTCAGATATTCTGGAAAGAAAGACATTCAATCCAACCTTTCTGAAGATGATCTGATATGACTTAAACCAAGAGAGACATTTTATTTCATATTCCTTGACCATGAGCCAAATACTCATTGCAGGACAAACACACCTGTAAGGCCACATGTTTGAGAACATTCTGACCAAGGAGACCAATCAGAAAGCTGACAGTTCACGGGGCATTCCACCACGCAGGTTGTGTTCATCTGCCAATTCTTTTCCAGGTCAAGCTGAAAGACAGAGGTAGAACCGTTTGTACTGACATGGAAAAATGACCATAGTATATTTGTAAGGTTGGGGAGGGGCCCAGAAAGAAAAGAGAGACAATGGGAAGATAGGGGGAACAAGCAGGTTGCATAATAGAATAAAAACGTATCTGAGGGACAATCACCCAAACTGTTAAAAGGGAAACCACTTATATAATATTAACATAGGGCTGTGAGCTAAAAAATGCAGAAGAGACCCAAAGGTGCAGCTGTAGTTAGAAATGAACAAATGTTTTTCTCCTAAGTTCGCTTTCCCTTCAATAAAGCAGACAATCGATGTTCTTCATGTCCTGACCTGGGGGAGTTGGGAAGCTGCCCTGAGGCTAAAAACATATCTTCTCTTAAAAAATGAGCCTAAGATGGCACATATCTCCTTGTGGTAACATCAAGGGGATGATTGACTGAACCTCCAAGGACCCCAAGGACCCCACTACCAGCATACTTCTTTAATGGCTGATGGGATCAGTAGCTGATTGACGGTCATGGGACTTGCTCTATGGCTAGTCTCTCTATAATAAAACTTAAAAATGGTATTGGAGATTTTTTCAGACTTTGCACTCTGATGGCCTTGTCCCACCCTGACCTGGAACATATACCTAGAAGCTAGCACCTCTGGGCCTGTGACACCCCCTCCCAGAAACTGGCCCTGCAACATGAAAACAGTTTTGAAACTTCCCATGATATCATCTCCAGGTAATCATTAGTCCCTAGCCCCCTGCCTGCCAAATTCCCTTTAAAAGTCCAAGTCTCTGAATTCTCGGAGAGGCGGATTTGAGAAATATCTCCCGTCCTTTTCACTCAGCAATATTAAACTCTTTGTTTACTGTGTCAGTCTCAGTTTTTCTAGGCAATGGGCATGGGAACCTGGTCAGGCTGTAACAGAAGTATAACGTGGTTTGACCCAGGAGAGTGACAGTCAAGGACATAGGATACTTGACTCTATACTTAAATATTGTTGACTCTATACTTGACTCTATACTTATATATTGTTTGAGCATTTTCAATAAGCAATACAAAAGTAGATTTAATCTTTAAGTTGGTTGAATTTCCTTAATGAGAAACAAGTAAGTGTTAGCACAGTTACTTTCCATTATTAAAAATCAATAATATCATCAATATTTAGGTTTACAATTGTATCTTAGGGATGTTATTTGTTTTGGCATATGCGTATTAAATTGGAAAGTGAAAAAGAAACATTGCCACTCAAGACTAATAATATAGTGTACGGAAATAATAAAAAATATCAGTTTTTAAGTCAGTTATCTTTCTCAAAAGGAAATGTGGGTCCTGATGGTTTTTTTTATTGTGAAGATCTTATGTGCATTTCTTTACAAAGATCTTGCCTTCTAAAATTGATTTCAGCAACTAGCTGTGATAAGTTTTGGGTTTTATATTTTGATTTCTTCAGTTATTTTGGTTTTAGACCTCTCGTCAGATACTATATGCCATTTTTTTGGCATTTGGGTTCTAATGTTTACTATTTACACATTCTATGTTACAAATATAAATGGAGATTTCAAATTTTTCTGTATATTCCCACACTTAGAAAGTCTAAGATACTAAGTAACATTGAAATAGGAAAATTTAAGAACTTATTAGGAGAATACAATTATTTTATTGTTAATTGTTGGAATTTTCAAGGCCTTTTACATTTGTTCTGCTTGAAAGAGAAGTTAATATTTTCTAGTTTATACAGCAGAAGAGAATGGCAAAGGAAACTTTTCCTGAAACATTACGCTGTGTCCCCAGTACAGCTCTCAGCTCTAAGTTAACCACTGAGAGAGGATCAGATCAAAGGTTTGTGTACTGTGTCTCTCTGCAGGCACTCTCATTATATTCTATACCAAGAACACTTAGCAGAGCTCAGTATTTAGTAGGAAAATTTTTACCACATCATTAAATTAAAAGCCTCTTAAAAGTCATGGAAGGTTGGAGATAGGAGTCTTGAGGTGATATGATGAAAATGATGTGTTATATTAAAGGTAGATAATAGTTTCATGGAGAGTTTGAATCATAGGATTCTACTTAGTTATTTCACTAGAGAGTGAATGAGGATATCTGTTTATAGGTATTCTGGGTGTGCACTAATTAGACATTTTAATCCTGTATTACTTTTTCCTTTACATTGATTGTATCTCTTTCTCTCTCTCTTTCATATATCTAAACATAGGTATCTAAATAAAAAATTAAAAATCAATTCATAGATCAAAGAATAGGAAAGGAGAAGCCAATTTCTAGGTATGAGAGAATAAATGTCTGAAAAACACCAAAGAGAAAAATACGACATAAATGCTAGGTGGCTTGAACCCTAATTTTCCTCTGTTGGGTAGTAATGCCATCCTTCCTTGTGGCTATTAGAGAAGCAGCAAGAGTTTCCTGCTACTGTTGCACTGAATGCAGGGTCTGCACACTCAGATTTTTAACTCCTTGAAGACAGAGTGTGCTAGAATGTTGAAATTTGAATCCCTAACTTTCATTGCACTATTTGAGTATTTTCAAGTATTAAAATATTTGCACATAAGGTTAAGCTTATCTAGGCTAAATACTAAAATTAGGTATTTCCAAGGGTTTTACTCATTATTTCATCTAGGAAATCAAGGACTTATGTATAGCTTTGCCTTTTAGTCATATAAAATAGTATAAAATTGGTCATGAATGATTCGCGTTCAACTTTCTCAAAGCTCTCAGAGCTATTTATTTTATATTTCATTCTGACCCAAAAGGACATGTATATAATTGCAAAAGGGTGAAAAAAGCCCGAATTAATCTACTAGAAAGTAGGTAAATTAGAAGCCCATCAGAATAGAAAGCTCTCCAGTCAGTATATGACTATTATAATCTTTATTCATAGTATTATTTTCATAACAGTTGCATCTTTTCCTGTTATTGGTTTCGAAATCAAAATCATTCGAGTGTGAAATTTCCAATTATTTACATCTAAGGAATGAATAGACTAGGTTGTTATAACATTATAGCAGGAGGCATTTATGAACTAAACAACTTGTATATAAAACAGGTATGTTTTCAGCACATGTGAGAGCTCTGCTCCCATGAACAGAGATGTAAGGAAATCAAGTTTGGTCGATATGATAAAGATATCAAATGAATTAAGACATTTCCATCTAGAGTTTTCCCTTAGGAGTTGAAGTAATTTATTGTGCGTAAATAATAACCTTCAGAATGTATAGACAGATGACCTGGTGACCATGCCTACTGAACTCAAATGAGGTTATAAGCTCTGTCTACTCTATTTCAGATCTATTGAGGCTCTTTGGTCGGTATTTGATCCAGTGGACCTCAGATGCATGAGAAATCAAAATTTGTCAAAACTTGTCAGGAGTACGAGTAACTTTTTGGTATAAAAATCAGACAAAATTATTACAATATGAAACATGGCTCCATGAAAACAAAGAAAGGCCAATGACTGCACTTCCTCACATTTCAAAATCTTACATCTAGATCGTCAGTGAGAGAATTACCAATTACAATTCTCTGTACCTAAAATATAATAATGGTAGACTCCATTCCTTTGTTTTAATATAAAGTTCTCTCTTAATCAAACCTGAGTACTTTGACTCTCACAGCTGGGTATTAGATTCTAATATCAAAATCTGCTACAAACCACATGCGATCAATGTTTAGCAACAAAGAGAATAAATGATGGCTCTTGGCAGGTGTCCTAGGCACTACACAAAATTCTCAGCAAATTACAAAAGATGATGAGTCATCTGATTAAGATTTATTGCCTTTATTCACCTTGATTACTTATTGTTCCCCATGCATTTCTTTCAGAAAAGGCTAATTAGCATACCTTTGGGCTCCCAGCCGAACAAAATACAGGAAATTATATGTAGAAATCGGTAGTGCTGGACAATGTCTCTTTTCAAGAACGTACTTAACAGCCTGTGAATGGTGCAGAAAAACATCTGCTGCCAATGAGATGTGTGGAGCGTAGGTCACTTGGCTCAGCACGAATTGAAATTATTAGGGAAGAATTTACTCACAAAGAAGTAACACAGTATCCACCCACCTCTTCACAATACTTCAGGTCAACCGACTTGCCATCACTTCGAACACAATCCAACATCCTTGTTTTAATGCCATTTCCACACACAGCTTTCTCACTGAGCTGGCACGTACTCCAGTCTGAAAGGAAGGGAGCTCATCAGAACAGAAGGTAAAATATGACACAGATTTCACATGAAACTCTGTTGACCCAAATCCCATATTTAATTCACAACTGCTTCCTAAGCCCCATAATCAATCATCCCACATGCAGAACATCTGGGTCCCAGCTTTGAACATATCAAGAGTCAAATGGAGTCGCTGGGGCTGCACATAGCTACGGGGATTATTCTTAAAGGCAGATGTCTACTTAACAATCTTGATGGCTAGCCCTTTGGAAATATTATAAAAATGAGTTTGGTCTATGGATCAATGTCACTTAAAAACTTTTTTTCCTCTAGTAAAAGTGGATTTTATAACCTTGGCATTGCTTTTATTTTAGCAAAATAATATTAATTTCAATGGACAGTACTTCAGTGATGTTACACCCAAATAATACACTAGGTATTTCACTTACTGTTCATATTTAGAATGAATTAAAATGCACACATTTATTAAAGTGATAAAAATCACTTTGGCGTATTTACTTAATTCTCTTTTTTTTTTGTAAAACAATTCTTTCATTTTTTTTCTCCAGGGTAACAGAGCATGTCCCAGAGAATTCTGATTTCCTTTGCATTATCAAAGAAAACTGAAGATAAAAATCAAAAGAAACAAAAAGTTAGTATGATTGCTATGTATCACAGTAGAATTTCTTGAGTTTGTTTCAGCATGAAAATTACTTGGGAAAAATTCCGAAGTAACCTTTGGAGTTATTGCAAGTCATATGAACCAACAAAATATTTTATTTCCTAGAGTATGCACCTTGGAAATATTAAATTAGTTTTAGGAAAGAAATAAAATTTATAATAAGCTTATCTTTCTGAAAAAATATTCATCCATTTTTCTTTATCTGTACCTTTTATAGTGTTGCTTTATAATCTTTGGCAAGTTTAAGATTACTGGCATTTCTACATGAAATTATTCATGTTTAGAAACTGCCCACACACCCCAAGAATTGTTGCTCTGGTTTGTTATAGCAAGTAAACTTCTTCTGAAAAAGAAAGACACCTTTTAATGAATCTGAATCTGATATCTGTGGTAAAAATATTTCTTTTATTTACACCTTCCCAAAGTGGGAGATGTCTTAAATAGCATCACTGAGAAACTCAGAAGCTACTTTATGGCCTAATGTTTGTGTGATATTTCCATTAACCTTACCTTGATGTTTGCTAAAAAATAAAACCCTTGATTATGTCTGTCATGTAATAATTAACTATTTCTGAGCTACTGAGCAGCATGTCCTGAAAGATGAGATTGACTATACTGATGGGAACACTTCCAAGCTGGCACATGGGATTTGGCCCCTAACTCCATGATCAGGTGACCATCTGCGTACCTGTTACGTTGTAGTCATAGTGGTAGCAGTTTCTGTTCAGGGTACAGGGCTCCTTCTCAACAGCATCAGGGCAGGATCTGCCCTCATCAGCAGGTTGCCTGATGGGATCAGCTGATCTTTGTCGGAAACTGCTCTGATTGCAAGGCTTAAAAAGAACAATACGACACCTCAGAAAGGTGACTTCTCTGCTACACAACATCTAGTGCACCAGGGAGAGCACTGGAGCAGGAGTTAGAATGTTTGGGCCTTGGGCTAATGTGGCCAAGTCAGTCAACCTCATAATGCCTCAGATTTTCCACGTATAAAATGAAGGTGTTGAATGAGATTCTGATGTCCCACCTAGCTATAATTTGCTTAAGATGCTATGTGTCAAATGCACACATCACCTCACACCTAGCCAAGCACACATGCATGATCATATTCATTATTATAATATGCTGATACCATATATAAACTCACATATATAATTACATATAAAATTGCATATATATCTGTGTATATTTATACAAGGAGGGACTCAAAAAACCTGGAATTTCTTTAATAAAAAAAGTGTGTTTATTCTTACATGAATAAACTTCAGTCACCTTCAAAGTACTCTTTGTTTGATGCAATACACCTGTCGAGACACTTTTTCCACTGCTCAAAAAGTTTTGGAACTCATCAATTTGAATGCCCTTTAGTACTTCTGCCACTTTTTTGTTTCACCTCTTCCACATCAGCAAAACGTTTCCCTTTGAGGACTTCTTTCACCCGGAGAAACAAAAAAAAGTTGCTCAGGGTGAGATTGGGTAAAAGGAGTTGAGGGGGAGTATAAAGGTCATGTAGTTTTGGGTCAAAAACTGCTGAATATTCAGAGTGGTGTGGACAGGTGTGCATAATCACCTATCATAAAATGGGTAAACGCGTTGAAAGAATCTCCAAAAAAAATTACTGAAGCCAAACACAACCACTCACAACAACACTAACTAGTACACTGATGCTGATAGGTTCCTAGAACACTTATCTAATGGGGAAAGCCTGTATTACATGGGGCGCACCCTTCAAAAGATAATTATTTTGGGGGGGGTTCTTCCTTGTATATAGTCTTTGAACCTAAAAAATTTCTTTAAGAATGAATTTAAATAATTAGATGTTAGTGACTTTTGTTTCCCTATTGCACACAAACATAGACACACAGAGACAATGTAACAGTTAAAAAAAAAACTGGCTTGCCATTCTTCTACTTGTATAGTCTTCTGAAAACATTTAGTTTCTGAGAACATGAAGTAGCAAGGGTCCAGCTTCTTTGGACTTTTTCAGGCCTAAAATAATTCCTTCTTCCTCCTCTGCTCCCATTGTACTTTGGTCGCGCCACTGGAATAACACTTGCTGGCAATTATATAAAGGCCTTATTCCTTTCTACACTGTGAGTGAATCGAGAGAAGGCTTATGTCTTATACATCTGTGTATTGTTCACACCTAACACAGTGCCAGGTAGACTGCTTAATCAGTGTTAATCAGTGTTTGTTTAATAAAGCCTTTGTGAGGAAACAAGCTGAGTTAAAGGTAAAAATGTGTTCAATTACGTTTAGTCTACAGCTTCCTCCTTACATAATTTAAGTTCAGTCTAAAGGTTTCTTTGTGAGTAGTGAACTCTAACTTGACCGAATGTGTAAACAGACCGTAATCTACTTTTGTGCCTGTCACCAAGTTTTGACCTATCAAAAGCAGTCAACTTTTCAAACTGTGTTCAAATAAGGCAAATGTACAGGAAAATTACAATAACAAAAAATCTCAGGACCCCCAAATTCTATGCAAAAAATAAGGTTAAACCTAGAAGCCAACTCACACAACACTCTCTTCTAAATGAAAGTCATTGCTAGCACTGTGCGTTAGTCAGATCCTCACATCTTGGTAAAAGGCCTCAGGCACCCACCAATGACTGCCCCGAACACATGTGTAATTTCTTTGCTGGACTCTCATAAACAAGGACATACCAATTGTGACTTCAGGTCTACAATCTAAGTCTAGCTCCAAAAATCAAAGCCTGTTCAATTTCACAGATAGCTATCTTCCCAGGTGCAGAACAAAGACAAGAAGAGATATGTCATTCTTCCACCTACCCGGAGATGTCAGCATAATTGCTTCTTCCTCTACTGTCTTCTGCTCCTCATTCACTCTATCTTATGCAATATGTAGGTTTCCTGGGCACTAACTGAAGTCTCATAAGAATGTAACCATTTGCCTATTAAATTAGGTTTGGGCCAAAGTTGCCTCCTTACATGTTTTGGGTTGACCTAGAGTTATCTGTAACTTTTGCATGATGATATGTAGACAATGTAATCTATTCTTGTGCCAAAATCCCAGTTTTGATCAATCAAAAATGGGCAACTGTTCAAACCAGGTTCAAATAAGGCACTCACTAAGTTGGAAACAATCTGGTTGTTTCTGGTTGTTTCTGTTTTCTGGATGTCACTTTCCTTTCTCTGTCCATACATTTTCTTCCACCACGTGGCTACTGTAGAGTCCCCCTAGCCCACTCTGATTGAGAAGGCTGCCCAATTGGTGAATCACTCTTTGCTCAGTAAAACTCTGTTCAACTTAATTTGTCAAGTTTTTTCTTTTATCCTGCCATACCAACTACCTGTCCCTCTTCCTATGTGCCTTCCTGCAAAAAAAACCCTTTTGGAAAAACAAAATAATTGTAACAAATGTGGCTGTTTCTGTACCTAACTTGTTTTCTGTGGGTCATTTTCCTTTTTCTGTCTATAAATCTTTTTTGGCCATATGGTAGCACCAAAATCTCTCTGAACCTATTCTGGTTCAGGAAGCTGCCTGATTCATGAATTGTTTTTTGCTCAGTTAAACTCTGTTCAATTTAATTTATTGAAGACTTTTCCTTAAACAAAAATAGAGCCTAAGAAGCACAATTATTTAACTAGTTGAATTTTCTTCTCATCCAAACATTTCTATTAGCATACCGTCAGGAATACAAAGTATGTTTCATCAACTTTCTTTTATACATGGGGGAGCCTCAATTATTCTTCTAAGATGACTATTCTTGGTCCTTTAAAACAGAAACCAAATGAAAAAAGTTCCATTTCAGTGGTTCCTGTAATTAGAACCCCTGTTAATAAGGAAAGAAGGGGTTTGGGTTCTGTATTCCCTACTTTATAAAAATGGAATTTCTGTAACACAGTCTGTGGTAATAAGAATCTCACAATTATAGATATGAATAGACAGTATAGAATATAGTTCAACTATCTGAAGTAACTTCAAAATGGATGCTATAAAATTAGAATAGGAAATCAGTTGCATATCCTTGTGAAACAGTTGATACTTTATTACAATTTCACCTGTACTCAAGTCAACTTCCGACCCTCTTTTGCTCTTGCTGTGTCAGTTGGTTGCCAAGCAGCATTTTTAATGGCATTAATGCTGAAATGGAAAATCAGTTTCCCCTTGGAAAATATTGGCACCTTAAACTCTTCTTTAAAACTGTTTTATATTGTTTTTCAACAAATTAATTCCACAATAGCTATCTTTCTCATGCTTTTGATGCCATTTTTGAAATGCACAGCTTTACAAAGGTGCCCATGGGTAAGTCAACTGTTCTATGGAAGCAGCCAGTTCTGTTTCAAATGACTCTCTCCCCAGAGCCCCATGGAAAATTCCCTACTGTCTGTTGAAATCTAGAAGCTTTGTGGGATTTGAAACTCTCAGTTGGCTTTCCAAGCCCTAAGAGACAGAGAGTCAGTATGTAAAAAGAGATTCACTGAAGCACAACTTTCTTCTTTCTACTTATTTCTTACCTAGAATCTTTTGCTGTTTAGTGTTAATTCTTTTGCTGCAGTACCCCCACTATGCAAGTGCTTATTACTCCCACTGAAAATGTGGATTGGGCAAAAAGTAACGGATTAAAATAACTTGATGCCATTAAAGTACCTTTACTAAAACGTCATTCAGTCTCCCTTTTACCTGGACGGAATTGTTATCACCACTGTGATTCTTAACATGCAGTATACTTATAAGACAAATGGAAGTTCTTTGTGCTGGGTTAGGAGGATGATTTGAGAAGGAACATAAAGCTTGCAAGAGGTCAAGCAGTTCTCGTGTGAAAGGAAACATTACTGACTTTAAACGGAGAAGTCATAGAATCAAGCAACCAAGAAAACACACATCGTGATTTGGTAAATATGGCGCACAAACAGATTTTTATATTAGACTGATTATATTTTCTTAATAATATCTTTGAAGCCTTGGTGGTAAGGAATTAAGCAAACTCTACTTTTTTTTAAATTTTGAAGTTATGTACAGGCGAGGATTTGCTGCATAAGTAGGCTACATGCAGGTGAAGTTTGGGCTTCAAGTTGGCCCTCTCTTCCCTTGGTAATAGACCAGGTACTCTTTGGATTGCTACATGCCCCCCTCCCTCCATTCTCTTTCTCTCCCTCCCCTCGTAGTGCCCAGCAACTGCTAATCCTATCCTTGTGCTATGTGATTAGCTTATGAGTGAGAATGTGTAACAAGCTCTGTGTTAATAAAATGGTAAATCACCTCACCAAAACACACTTGGTCCAGGGACCCCATTCGGATATCACACAGTCCTCAGGGCATGGTAATTTGCACTCTCTGGAGCCCAGAGGCATCTCTTCTGGGTCACAGAGGTAATCTTCAACATGTTCAGAAGGGCCATCTGCCGTATTCTGCATGCATCTACGAGAGAACATACATATTTTCTAGAAAACATGCATATCTTCTAGAAGTATATAAACCAGGATGGGTGGCTCTACTAAAGACCTCATTATGGGGATAGGGGGTAGGAAACTTTGTATAGAATGAATGCAATTCCCCAGAAATAAAGGTTTACAGGGATCTCTACTTTTCTCAAATATATATTTGCATTCATGATCATAATCTATGAATACGGTAACTAATGTGTATATGTAAAACTCTGCATGTATATGTAAACCACCATGTATATGCATATGTCCTTCTATGGACGGACAGGGTTATTTATATTCATAATATGAGGTAGAAACTAATGAGGAATGGTCCGAAGAGATTCATGAAGGGGTTGCAATTCTGGCATATAATGCGAGTTTTTCTTCTCAAGAAAATGGTAGATTCCATTGAGAAGACAAACTTGACTCATATGTGACGAAAGGCCAAGTACACTGAAATCTTTAAGTGAAATGCTTCAGTAAATATTTTTAATGATAACTAGAGGCAGTTATCAATTTGTTTGTCTTTTTTTTTGAGTTGGAGTCTCACTCTGTCGCCCAGACTGGAGTGCAGTGGCCGTTCCCGGCCACCGCAGCCTCGACCTGCTGGGCTCCAGCGATCCAACCGCCTCAGCCTTCCCAGTAGCCGGAATTACAGGCATGCGCTACCATGGCCGGCTGATTTTTTTTTGATTTATTGTAGAGATGAGGTCTCGCTTCCCAGGCGGGTCTTGAACCTGCGGGCTCAGGCAATCCACTCACCTCAGCCTCCCAAAGGCGCGGGATTACAGGCTGAGCCACTGAGCCCGGCTTTGTTTATCATTTAAAAAGTAATGTTAACCTCCCATCTGCTGCTAATCTCAAAGCCAGAAAAGAAAAGGCAATTATAATTGTAATAGTACAAATTCTCTAAATGTTGGTTCTTTAGATCTTCCTATATCTTGAACTTTAAAAAAATTTTTTGTTCATTTTCTTTTTAATGGAACAAATTCAAACTTGGTTTCCATTTTATTTTTATTTTTTTGTTAGCAGTCTTATATAAAAGACTCTTTATTCATCTCTTGGGAATCTAATTAATGTGGTTAATACCAGACTTCACTTTTACCATAGCTAGTAATCTCTAGGCACATTAGTACTGTAGTGGAAGAAAACACTTTATTCCTCATCTCAGCCAACTTAATGGGTTTGGAAAAGAGAACTGTGATGCAGAAGATGAAAAGGAAGGTTTGAACTTCAAGCCTTTTTTTTTTTTTTTGAGTTGGAGTCTCACTCCGCCGCTCCCGGCCACCACAACCTCGCCTGCTGGGCTCCGGCGATCCTTCCGCCTCAGCCTTCCAAGTAGCTGGAATTACAGGCATGCGCTACCACGCCCTGCTGATTTTTTGATTTATTGTAAAGATGAGGTCTCGCTGCCCAGGTGGGTCTCGAACCCGCGGGCTCAGGCAATCCACTCACCTCAGCCTCCCAAAGGCGTGGGATTACAGGCTGAGCCACCGAGCCCGGCTGAACTTCAAGCCTTTTAAACCTATTCACTGTTTTAAAGTGTCAGTTAAATTATAAATAAATTACCAATTTATACCTGGAATCCCAATTTTTCTCAGGGTTTTACAATCAGTAGGCACATTCACAAAACTATGCAGCAGAATCACCTTTCTAGACAGTGCTGCCGAATTTAAGAGAGATGCCCTTTCCCTGTGGGATACATGCAAAGAGTATGCTGTTGGTCACGTCTTATTTGGGTTTATAGCCTAGAAAGATAACCATGCAAATACCAAATACCCACCTTGGCTTTTTTTTTTGATACTGGATAAATACATAAAAAATAATCAGAAAAATATTCAGAGGTAGATATTGACATGATTTCATTGATGAGAGAAAAAAATCAAATTAGAAATCATTTGGGAGAATTTGTTTTCCCAAGAAAAAGTTCTATCCTCAACAGCATTTAAAAAATGTTCTGTTGACAGCAGCTTAGAGAGGACATGGGACCGACAAGGCATTTTAGTGCTCAAAAGTTAGATTTGCTGCTAAGAAGAGATTACATATGTGGCAGGTACTGACACAATGTTCAAGGATTAACTTGTAAAATTAACTATTGATCCAGAAATAAGAACAGATGTCCAATACTCTATTAGCAGTTACGTACATAAATCTTCATTCTCAAAGGCTTCTCTCTTTAATTTTGTATTACACAGGTAATATATTCATTTTAGAAAAATCAGAAGAAATTATAAAAATCCACATAATTCCAACACTCAGAGATAATCACTCTTAACAGATTTCATTTATAGTACATTCATTTATTTTTAAACAAACTATTACTGTAAACATATATTCATATTGTATATAATAGGACCAAACTTTATCTATCATTTGTACCATTTTAAATAGTCAAAAACATATTATGAACATTTTGTGTCATGAGCTATTTTTCTAGGATATATTTTTAATGACTACATTTGAATTTAATTGCTTTAATATGCCACAATTGTGAAAATAAAAATCCTTATTGTGGCATTTGGATGATTTATAGACTTTATTTATTTTACTCTGTATTAACAAATTTTTATCACCTTGGATTACAGAATACATATTTAAATTATGCTTTTAGCCCAAAGAAAGGCATTTCAAATTAATTTGTCTTTTTTTTGAATCAGGGTCTCACTCTGTTGCCTGGGCTGGAGTGCAATGGTACGCTGTCGGCTTACCACAGCCTCAATATCTTGGGATCAGGCAATCCTTCTACCTCAGCCTCCTGAGTAGCTGGGACTACAGGTGTGGGCCACTAAAATTTTTTTGTGTGGAGACAAGGTCTCTCTATGTTGCCTAGGAGGGAGTCAATTTCCTGGGCTTGTATGAACCTTCTACCTCAGCCTCCCAAAGTGCTTGGATTACAGGCATGAGCCACTGTGCCCAGCTTCATCTGCTTTTTTAATTTTTTAATTTTTATTTTTGGGGGTTTTTTGAATTCTCAACTTTTCTCCTTGCCAAGAAGCAAGAATTATGCTGCATGAAAACTGAACTGTGGTAGAAAGTACATATTGTAGGATCAAGTTGGAGGTAAAAGGTGTAGCAAGAGGCCCACCAGAAGTGTGGGAGTAAGAGGGTGCGGTGTCTGCACAGAATTAAAAGGCAACAGTAACAATGACTAAATCTGACTGTTTTCTACTATCACTATGCTCTGGCAATTCTAAATAATGTCAATGCAAGAAACATCCTTCCTACGAAGGCAAACCACACTCTCTGATGGGCCCTAACATCCTAAAAGAGGAGGCCTGTAATTGGAAACATTTAAACCTGCTCTGCTATAGACTCATCTGTCCTGAAATGCCACCCAACACTTACATTAAAGCAGAACATTTTGACCTTTTTAAGCAAAGTATACGGTTAGGGAGATGCACTACTCAATCAGTAGCAAACAGGAACATTATTGCACGATCAGAGATCACAATCAATATTGACCTTCTCTTTTCTCTATTTGCATTAAAAATGTTTACTGAAAAAATAGATTGATCTGAAACATTACTTTGTTTAAAATGTGTTTGAAAATGTTGAGAGTATCCACTTACAAAACAAAAAGAGAAGCAACATGCACACAGATAGTTGGAGAAGATGAAAAAAAGTTCTTTCATTTTTTAATTAACAAAATAACCTGATCAAATTCTTAATATATATATATATATATATTTTAAAAAAATCTGAGGTAAAAAATTAATCTGGAAGGAGAATGATGGAAAAAACTCTCTCTCTCTTTTTCTTCTGTTTCCCTACCTACTACTCATGACCTTCCTACCAGCTCCCTCCCCAGACTATCTGTATTAAATTCCTCAGAGAAAAACAAATAGAGGGCTCAGATGGGCTTTTGAAAAAAGAGATAAAACACTTTTTATTAGAAAAAAAAAACCCCTATATAGGTCTATGTGCAAAGATTTTATGACATAAATGCTAATTTGTTCTACTTTGCTACTGAAACAGATTGAGAAATATCAGTCTGAAGTACATGAAAAGTTAGGTCAGGGATAAGAATGAATTTCTCCATGGGTTGATAAGGTCTGTATGTTTTTATGTCTGTCCTTCCTGTGTCCATGAGCAAGGTTAGAGGAAATTGGGACAGTTAAAAAGAGTGTCAGGAGACATAGGTTTGAAGTCCAAGGCTGTCACATTACTAGATGTGCTTTCTTGGCAAGTTACTTAGTACTCTGGAATCTATAAAATGGAGGTGATAAAGCCTCATGCGCTGATTTCAGAGGGTTCTAGAGCCCTAAAGGTCATGGCACAGATGCTGCATGGAAAGTTTAATGAGTATTAAACTTGTGCTAGGCATTAGGGAATTCCTATGAACATGATGGGGTCTCTGCTTGGAGAAACACAGAATTTAAATTAAGGTGACAGTCATGTAAATGGATCCTTTCAAAATACATAGCATGGGGTGTTGATATATGATTGCAAATACCTTGTGATTCAACTTTAGGATGGACTATTATCTCTCTACTGATCTTATAGATTGATTTACCCACCAATTGATCTTAATTGATTAATCTGTTTTGAGAGGTATCAAAATACATAACATGGAGTATTGACAAATAATTGCAAATACCTTGTGATCCAACTTTGGAATGGACTATCATCTATCTCCTGATCTTATAGATTGATCTACCTATCAATTGATCTTAATCTATCCATCTGTTTTGCAAGGTATCAAAATATATAGCATGGGGTATTGGTATATTATTGCAAATAACTTGTGATTCAACTTTTGAGTAGACTGTTATCTATCTACTGATCTTATAGATTGATGTTCCCATCAACTGATCTTAATCGATTCATCTGTTTTGTAGGAAATGTTATTGAAGAATGAATAATTGTGGTAAAAATCTATGTGATTTGCAATTTTCAACATTAACACGAAACATGCTCTTTTCTCTGCATAGATATTTGCTAATACACACATATTAGTATATGTGAAAATATTCTATATCTGTGCTTTTCAACAGATAGCTACAAGCCACATGTGTCCACTGAGCCCTTGAAATACAGCAAGGGTGACTGAGGAGATGCATTTTAATTTTATCTCATCTGAATTCGTTTAAATTTAAATTAGGATAGGATATGTGGCTAGTGGCCATGCTATTGTACAGTGCCACTATAGATATGACAGGAAGAGCCACTCAGGGTTTCGGAGAAGACTCCTTGGATGAGATGAGAGTGTTCAGCTAGCCAGTTAGATGTAGCCAGAGTCTCACTCTGTTGCCAGGCTGGAGTGCAGTGTCACGCTCACAGCCACTATAGCCTCCATCTGCTGGGCTCAGGTGATCCTTCCATCTCAGCCTTCCAAGTAGCTGGAACCACAGGCATGCGCCACCACGCCCAGCTGATTTTTTGACTTATCTTAGAGACGATATCTCGCCACGTTGCCCAGGCAGGTCTCGAAGCCCTGAGCTCAGCCTCCCAAAGTGCTGGGATTACAGGCGTGAGCCACCGTTCCCAGCTAAAAGTGCAAGAGTTTAAAACAGATTATTTTAAAAGTGCACTTGGAAATATATTTGTTCTTTAAGAAACAAAGTTACTGGGGTTGAAAACTGATATGAGTTCAGATTAAATATGCTGGCCCTTCTCTTCAAGAGCATCTTGAAGTGAAACTTCCTACATCAGACTGCCAGGTCTGCTTGAAGAATGAACACAGATTCCCTAAGGACAAAACTAAAGGCGATTTTGTTCAGAAGACCAGGGAGCAGTGGACAATTTTGTGGGCCCATGAGTCCCAGGAGGGGTCGTGCATCTGGCTCTGGATAACAGGGTTGGGCTCACCTCACTTTTCGGGTTTGCACGCCTTCTCCGCAGTTCTCCCGCGTGTTCACAAAGGTCACCTTGCAGACGCTCCAGGGCTCTGTGACCCATATGTACTGGTGGCAGTCACTGTGGCATGGTACGACCTCATACACCTGAAACACACACGGTTCAGCGATCTCAGGGAGTCTGAGGAGACTGGGTGGGTAAATGCCCACACCACAGCTATCCTTGCTTCACTGCTAGCTATTCTCACTCCTCTCCTTCATTGCTCATTTTAAAATAGCTAAGAGCCTCATCTAAGGAGTTCAGCAGGAAAGGGACGGGCTGACCCTGTAGCATTCACTGGTTCTGCTATTGCGTGGCTGGTGTAGACCCGACCTGTTGGACTGCATTAGACACATGGTCTATCTTCCTGTATGGACCCCTTAAGCACACTGTATGTGTATGCCTTGTTTATAGTTTTGTGTGTCTTCAATACTTAGCCTGGGATAGTCATATGTTAGGCACTCAACAGAGATTTGTAAAATAAATGAAGGAATAGATGAACCGGTGAACTAAATGGGTATATAGACATAGATGTTTTCCAAATAAATATAATTTGTCCTGTTTTCCAGATAAATATGTCTAATTATAAAAATTTATACTTTTTTGTGTTTCAAACAGAAAATTAAATTAAAGGAAAAACAATATGAAACAAAACCATCATAAAAACCAATCCTCAGTTATTTAGGGCTTGAAAACAAAGCCTGTCTCATATTACACAGCAAAATCCCAAAGCAGTAAGGACCATATGAAACAAGGCAAATTGTCTCTGCTCTTAGTATCCAGAAAGACTTTTGGTCTAACATTTGGGGTGATATGCTTGGTTTCAGGATTTTTAGAATACACCAATTATGCTGCTAAGAAGAAGGACTAAACAAAGGAAATTAGTGGCTCCAAATCTATGGCAACCAAGCTGACTCAACCGTCGAGGAAAAAATCTTTAAAAATATTTTCCTACTCTCTGATAGTTCAAGTCTTATTTCCTATTTTACACACACACACACACACACACACACACACACACACACGCACATAGAAATGATCACGTGTACATGTTTTGTGCTACTAATTACAAAAAAGGTAGATTTTAAATAGCTCTTAGAGCCATTCTAGTGTGCCAATAGGAGTGGACTAAAATCCCAAGTAAGAAGAGTAAAGTGAACTGATCTCAAATAGGAATAAAAAACACACACCGTGGGCATCAGATTCTCCAGTGATCACGTCGGGTGATTGCATTCACATTTGGGTGCTTATGCAAATAGGACTAAATCACACAGGGTAAATATTGCCCCACCACTTGTGGGGAAAGGGAAATGGAAGGAGAAATGCTGTTTTCCCTAATCCTTTAATGACTCTCATTCAATCTCCTCCATTTAGGGGGATACAGATCAGTTCTGAACAACTCCCACCCATCCATTCCCAGGTCACCTGCACCTTTTCCCTCTGAAAAACAGGAGACCCTTGATGAGGGTATCATTGCCTTGTCAAGCTTCATGTAATGAGGCGTCTTTCCCCCACCCGTGTTCACCTCAGGCCCTAATATTAAAATGAGGAAACACAGGTAACTATGCCAGGAAATAAAAATGGAACTGCCACAGGAAAAAAAATTATGGAAAATGAGATATTTTTCCCCTTGTAAAACATAAAAGACAAAAGCAGGACAAGAAATACGTTCTCAGGAATTTTAAAAAAAGAAGCATTCTGTTAAGAGCCATGAGGTTTAAGAGTTCTTACCTGTGCCTGGAATGGGGTTCAACAGGAGTGAAGAAAGGGGAGAGAAACAAAGATGAGTAAAAATGTCAGTATATTATGAGAAGAACTCATGTGGTAAGTTTTAAGCATTGTTAACCACATAAAAGCCTACTTTTTTTTTTGGTAAAAGATTAGGACATTTTTCTTAGGCCTTAGGAGAGAAAACCCAACTACGTCTTATTGTTGAAAAGTGAGATGCACACTTAAGTACTGCAAACAGCTCAGCCAAGGAAAGAATTTGATGGGCAGGATGAAGAAATCTTAGAAAACTGAGTCGACCTCAAAATGCATAGCATGGAGAATTGATATATAACTTGTGATTCAACTTTTGGATGAATTATTATTTATCTACTGATCTTTTTTTTTTTTTTTCATTAATCAGTATTTTTTATTATGGTTTTGTGGGGTACAGTTAAGGGTTAGGTGTACAATGACGTTTCATTCAGGCACCCTGTAGATAAGAAGTGTTTTCCCATCCCCCGACAGATATTTGCTACTGTTAATCCCATCCCCCTCCCCCCCAAAGTTTCCCAGTACCATCCGTCATTTTCTCATAGTATTGCATTGGATGTTCAAGGTCCATTATATGAGTGAGAACATGTGATATTTGGATTTTTGTTTTTGTGAGAGGTCACTCTATCTACTGATCTTATAATTGATCTCCCCATCGACTGATCTTAATCGATTCATCCATTTTGCAGGAAATATTATTGAGGAATGTGTAATTGTGGTAAAAATCTATTCACAATTTTCAACATTAACACAAAACTCCACATATTCTTTTCTTTTCCTAGATATTTACTAATACATAAATCCACAGAACTTTTTATTTTTATGTAGGACATTCATGCTCAAAGGCAAACGTTCAAAAGTTTATTATCTGTTGTTTATCTTTGGCTTTTCAGTTGTTAATGTCTTGATAAACCTTTAGCAGGCTGATAGCAAGTACACAATGCCACTATCAAACTCTGCATCATATTATATGAATTAGAAAGTTACAGAGAAATGGTTTAAGCTAAAAACTTCGCATAGCAAAGACAACTTGGTCCAAATCCCGAGTCTTGAACCTTTATAAATTCACCATTAGGGAAAATGCTCAGGCAAACACATCTTATTTTAATTGTGGAGCTGACTGGGTGACTAAAGTGAAATGGGTATGAGTATGTGTAGAATTTATTAAGACTATGGCTCATCATATATTAAAATTTAAATTGTCTGTCAGGAATTTTGGATTTCAAAATTTGTAGAGAAATATCATTTACATTTTTGTTTAGGTAGTCTGTCTTACAATTAGAGTCCAGGAACTGAATTCTCTTTAGAAACATCACCAGCATGTTCTGAGACAGGGAAGCCCAGTGACCAGTAGGTGGCAGCAGGGGAGCACATTACTTGCCCTCAGTTACATTTGAAGGACAGATTGAGGAATTTTACTTGGGGGGAAAAAATCAAGATTCCTAATGGAATTTAATTCTCCACTATTTCATCTTTATTTAGTTTATTCATAAAAAATTTATTTGTTTTTTTCTACAGTGTGCTTTTATTATGAGCAAATTTAAGGTAAATTGTGGAAGGAAATCATGTGTACAGGTAAGTAGAGTGTTTAGAGATTAAAATTAGTCTATAAATGTATGAAACATTTCTATATATTTAAGGACTTGGTTCATTTAATTGTGACTTAAATCCAAATACACCACTTGAATTTACATGTTGCATGAAATTTATTATCTGTTAATTCATATGTAGCCCAAACATGTTAAAAACTGTCTGATACATTTCATTTAAATGAGTCACAATTCCTTGATTCAATTTTTTACTTGTTATCTACAACAGAATACAAATAACAACTATTAACAGCAGCTAAGAAAGTGTGCATCCCAAGTTAAAGTTTCAAATAAAATGAAAAATGGCCAGTGACTTAGTCGACAGTATACTTATGGTGACTCTGAGGTCATCTTCATATTTAAATTTTTCTCAATTTATTTTATATCATATACATTTTACAAAGAGTAGACTTTTCTTAATTTAAGATCCAAACCCATATACTTTTTTAAAATTTTAATTCATGTAGTTGACAATTGAGATGTCTTTTCTGAGAGTCTAGAGAAACGATAAGAATGAGTTAATCTCAGCCTACATGATAGAATTTTATGACAGATTAAATATCTTGACATTATTTCAAAGACAGGTGTCATTTTCCTCTCCATTGAATTATGTTCATATTCATACACTTGCAGGGTACAGAATCTCCAGAGAATACAGGGATAATATATCTAATTTGAGATTTTTAATAACATACATATATTTACTCAAGTATTCAAAAGATAAAATGGGTCACATTTCTGACTCAGGAGCTATGATTGACTCGTTTCCATTTTGGAGAAAAAAAATTAAATCATTGTCAGTCTAAACGATAGCTTAATACTCTCTCAACAATGACAGAAAATACCTGATTGACATGGTCCAGTTTGGGGCATGGCCTTCCTCCATTGTAGGGTTTTTCACGCAGCCATTTAGAGCGCACCTTCACACCACTTCCGCAGGACTTGCTGCAGCGCGACCAGTTGGACCACTCGCTGAGCTTACAGTCTGAGGGGCAAGGAATGATACAAGCTTCCTCGATGTAACCTAGTGGAAGCAAACAAGACAAGAACTGACTCTCCACCTGTCACTCTCCCACTACCACTGGCCCTTCCAGCTAATTTAGAAGGTCCACATCTGACTCAACAGCAGTATGTGAATGCAGAGGTGTCTTCGTTGTTAGGGACTCAAATGAGATCCTGCAGGAAAATGACACACACACACAGTGACTCTGTTAAAACTGTTAAAACAAGAGCTGAGCAGCTGCCATATTGTCTGCTGAAAATTCATGCTCACCATGTTTCAACATTTCTAACTTTCTGACAGCTCGTGTTTAATTGACAATAACCTGTCTGCTGCCATATCATTCTCATGCTGTCAGAGTGAGACATTAAAAAAATTATAACATGGTTTTCTATAAAAACCCTATCTGTTAATGTCACACAGATGCAGGATTCTGAGTTTATGCAGTGTTCTTTCTTAAGAAGAAGAGTTAGCTCTTTTCAATTAATATCTGAAAGAAACCATTTAACTTAGCTTCTTATGTTTCTTCTTATTTGAAAATAAAGTCTGAAGGGGAAAAAAAGCGAGGGACATTAAACAATCATATTTTCACCATCCTGTCAATTTCAAAGCACCTTCATATCTTGTATCTAATTGAGTCTCTTGAAAATCTTATGAATGTCTCGTGCAGGTATTGATATCCTAGTGGCCAGAGAAAAAAACAAATGCAGAGAGACAACTGACAAGTTCCAGGTCACATGATAAGGGATGGCCCAAGGTCTTCTGAGGTCTAGTCCAGTACTCATTCCATCATATCACACAGCCTATTACATTAATGGTGCAGAGATTTGTTTCAGGAAATGGGAACATTTTTCCTTGAATAGTCCTTTACTAACAACTTGCTACTTTCCAGTATCAATCTATCATGATTATGCTCAAGTTTGCCTTGAAAAACAAGCAGAATTCTTCTAGTCAAGAATCAAATACATGTTTGTCCTCTGTAGTACTATAAATATAGAGAGATGTTGTTCCTGATACATGAAAACCATTTTGCCTCAACAGCAGAGGTTTGATTTTGATGATAATATAAACAATTTATACCAGGGAACTCCAGGTAGGTTTAACAAAGTTATTGAGATATAATTCATATAAAGTAAAGATAAGTTCATTTGGTTTTTAGTATATTTCCTGGGTTGTTCGATCATCACCCCTATCTAATTTTAGAATGTCTTTATAATCCCCCAAAGAAACCCTGTAATTATTGACAATCACTTCCCATTTTCTTCTTTCTTATCTTTTGCCAACCATTAACCTACTTTCTGTCTCTGTGCATTTGCCTGATCTTGACATTTCATATAAATGAAATCAAACATCATGTGATCTTTTGTGACTGACTTCTTTCACTTACTATGTTTTCAAGGTTTGTTTATGTTCTAGTATGCCAGTACGCCTGTCCTTTCTGTGACTAAATAACATTCCATTGTATGGACATGACACATTTTGTTTGTCCACTCAGCAGTGAATGAGTTGTTTCCATATTTTGTCTATTATAAATAATGCTGCATGAACATTTGTGTGTCAGTTCTGTGTGGACATAAATTTTCAGTGCTCTTGGATCTATACCTAGAAGTGAAATAGCTCGCTCACATGGTAACTATATTTAACTTTTGAAGGAAGTGTCAAACTATTTTCCAAAATGACTGCACCAGTTTACATTCCACTCGCAATGTATGCAGCTTCCAATTTCCATAGACCCTTGTCAAACTTGTTTTGTCTATGTTTTTATTTGATTGTTCTTTGATGAACAAAAGTTTTAAATGTTGACGTTCAATTTATATACTTTTCTTTAGTTACCTGAGCTTTGGTATCATATCTAGGAAAGCATCACCTAGTCCAAGGTCACATAGGTTTACAACTATGCTTTTTTCCCAACGGCTTGACCGTTTTAGCTCTTATATTTAGGTACGCCATTTCATTTTGAGTTAATTTTTTTACATGATAAAAGATAGGATCTAACTTCATTCTTTTGTGTGTGGTTATTGGACTATTCTGGACCCATTTGTTGAGAAGACTATTCTTTCCTCATTTAAATGTTTTGGCACATTTTTGAAAATCAACTGACCATCAAAGAAAGAGTTTAGTTTTAGACTCTAAATTCCATTCCATTTATCTCTTGTCTAGTCTCATGATAGTACCACACTGTCTTGATTACTGTGACTTTGTGGTACATTTCAAAATCAGAAAGTGTGAGTCTTCCTACTTTCTTCTTATTTTTAGAGATAGTTTTGGTTATTTTGAGTCCTTTGTATTTTTATATGCATTCTAGAATCCGATTGTCAATTTCTGAAAAAAAAAAAAAAAAATGGTGGCTAGCTACTGTGTCAAACCTGTTAATCAATTTGGGAATACTGTCATCTTAATCCAGGCACGTGGCATTTCTTTTCATCATTTCAATTATTAATTTTTTTCAATGATGTTTTATAGTTTTAAGTGTATACATCTTGAACTTATTATATTTATTCCTAAGTATTTTATTCTTTTTATTCTAGGTAGACTTCAAGAAGAATCAAAAAGCATTGATTTCTTTAATTATAGGGAAATCAAGCCACCTTTAAAACAAAATGACAAATCTAATTTATAAGTTTGTGCTTATAAACTGTCCTGTACCGAAATAGTGTCAAAATGCTAATCAATTTATTACACAGTATTTTCTAGCCTTGCCTAAACATAAGTTACCTGGGACACATATTAAAAATACAGGCTCCCAGCATTCTCCAAACTAAGATATAGACATGGATGCAATTCATTGAACTTACTCAGGTTTCACAAGTTTTACTCATACTAATTTGTACATGTGTGAGTGTGTATGACTGAAGTTAGAAAATACTATTGTAAGACATAGGCAGAACCAGCAAAATCTGGAAGAGAAATAGATTTGTGGCATATCTTTTTATATATCATCTCCTATACTTTTGCCAAATATATGCATCATTTGTTTAAAATGTTTTATTGTTGTCTCCATACACAAATGTGCATCTTTCATAAGTGTCTATTTCACTGAACACATCCATGAAATCAATACTTTGGGATTCTCCTTTGTGTTCCTTTCCAGCCATTTACGCACTCTTACAAGAGTAACTTCTGACTTCTCACAAAGTAGAATAGTTTTACTTTAAAAAATATTTTATGTAAGTAAAGTCATACGGGGGGGAGCCCCCAAATAATGGAATCGATTTATAAAAAACTGTGTATTTATTCTTACGGGTTTATACTTCAGTCACCTTCAAAGTACTCTCTGTTTGATGCAATACACCTACTTTTCTACTGCTCAAAACAGTTTTTGAACTCGTCAATTTTGATGCATTTTAGTGCTTCTGCCATTTTTTGTTTCACCTCTCCCACATCGGCAAAACGGTTCCTTTTGAGGATTTTTTAATCTGGGGAAACCAAAAAAAGGTCATTCTGGGTGAGATCAAGTGAGGGTCAGGCCAGATTTTTGGACAAAAACTGCCGAACACTCAGCACGGTGTGGGCAGGTGCACCCATAAATCACCCATCATGAAATGGGCAAACACATTGAAAGAATCTTCCCCCAAAATTAACTGAAGCCCAATGCAACCTCTCAATGCAAAGTTAGCTGGTACATGGATGCCAACAGGTTCCTAGAACACTTACCTTGTGGGGGAAGCCTGTATAAGGCACCTGCCCTCCAGAAAATAACTCTGATTTTTGGGGGGAGGATCACCCCTCATATATTATATATCCATTTGTGATAGCTTTCTTTCACTCTATAATGTAATGTGAGATTCATCCATGCTACTGAATGCTGTTGAAGATTACTCATTCTAATTGATGTGCTGCATTCCATTATGAATATATTATGATTTACTTAGTCATCCTGTTGTTGGTGAGTATTTGGGTCGTTTTCAATATGGGGCTATTATTAGCTGTGCTGCTACGAACATTCTGGAACATGTATTTTGAGGAAAGCATGTATGTGTTTCTGTTGGGTGTATCCCTAGGAGAGAAATTGATGAGTCAGAGGTATGAATATTACTTGTTGTAGATGAAGTGTAAAATAATTTTTTAAAAATGGGATCATAAATTTGGTACGAAGAGCAGAATGCAATGAAAGAGAGTTTAAAAGTGGGAATTAGTCACAGATAATCTTTTGGAAGGCAGACATGGCAGTTGGGGTTTTGTCAGTTGTAAGACACTGGGGACAGAAAGAAGATGCCAATGCTGTTTTAAATGTACTACTTATATTGAAGATGACTTTTGGAGTATTGATAATGACCCAGAGGAAAGTCCTAGTGGGGAAGGTTTGTACTACAAGAATTGAAAAGAACTGAAAAAGTACTTTACAATAGTGTTTATTGTCATTTTAAAAAACATAGCTAGTCTTCAGATACATTGCAGTGATACACTTAAACCTTATACTTTGACTTTAATTATGGTTTTACATAGGGAAATAAACCCCCCTTTACTATTTTGAGTTGAAATATATTTCAAAACTTATTCTCTTTTTCCTACAGCACAGTCAGAAAATATTTATCTAAAATAGTATGAGATCACTGTTCAAACTGAATGACATCATATTAATAAAATGTTTGTATACTCTTGTAAAAAAAAGTAAAATAATATGAGATGCCTAAAAAATAACTCTTGATAGGGCCAGTAATGATTAGTTTTCTTTTTGAAAGCAAACTGTAAAAATGTCTAAGGTGATTTCCACATCAATGACATTATGACCAAATTATTTAATAATATTTGTAAAAGCATAAAAACTTTCAAAAAATACCAATCATTTCTAATATTATCAATAGCTTTGGCAAAAGAAAACTAGTATTTCAGAGGTTATAAGTTATGAAAATATTTTTAGAAGAACTGTATTTCTCTACTTTGATAAACTGCAAAATGACTGTCAAAAGCAAACCTCTAACATTTTGTCATCCAGCAAATGTAACTGTAAATAGAATCACATAATCTTTCAGGTCACTACCTCATAGAGTAACAGATAAACAGAAATTCTTTTCTTTTATTCTATCTGTTGAAATATTATGGCATGAGTGAGAATTAACTTGTGTGACTTCATACTGATTCTCATTGTATTATTAGAAAAGGAGATATAAAACTTTTATGTCTGACTTTCAAATAGCATATTCCAGAGAGCATCTCGCAAATAAAACTCAACCTATTAAACTGTTAAAAGATACAAATTAGGAACTGAGAGGAAGATAAAACTGCAAAAGATAGATTGCCTAGCATCTCGTTTTTATTTTCAAGTGTCTGACAACATCCAATAATTGCCTGTCATGTTTCTTTAACACCATTACAATCCTTAACACTCCTAGTGAGCTAGAGAAGCATTCCCCTGCCTTCTCTGCTGAGATCATTTTTTTAGGGCAATTAACACCCAACAATCATGGAGGATAGAAAGATAGAGACACTTTGGATGTGTTTTAAGGCTGAATAAACGGCCAGCATCTTGGAGCAATGTATGGTTTCTTAGGATGCCGGCATAAAATAAATGACTTTACCTTTAGGATATTAAGTTTTAGCAGTTCAACACTGAATTAGATATTTGGAAGAATCAAACTCCTGACTTTTTTGATAGTATTTTTTTGTGTTCTGTATCTCTTCTGACTGCTCCATCCAGCATGAAATGAATCCAAAACCCTAGCAGGCTTATAGTGGCAATTAGAGGACATACTGCCTTTGAGAGATAGATCCAGTCACTTCATTCATTTGATTATCTGCAAGATAAAGTAGATCATAACAACTTTAACAATTACTAAATTATGCTGTTGAAAGATGAAAGTATTAATTTTGAAAGCACATGGAAAATATTGGTTGGTTCTGATTGGCAGCTGTGTGAATGAGTAGCTCTGGCATTCTATCTGAAACATCTGGATTAATTTCAAAAGCAAATTAAAATATCTCTCTTACTTAAATATGTATTATATGTACATGATTGCAAACAGGAATGAGACAATTTAGCTAGATTATTATCTATAGTAGTCCTCATGGGCTTGAAAAAATTTTTAAAAATTTGTAAAAACTTTCCAGTGGAAAGATTATTCTTTAGAAATTATATATTAAAAAACAGTAAATTGATAACTTGGGAAAACAAAATTACTATGTACAAGGAGAGATTTCCCCCTCCCCACCCCCCAAAAACCTCAGAATTGTCTTTTGTAGATTGAGATACTTGTAACAGGCTTACCCTGCCAGGAAAGAGTTCTAGGAACCCATAGGCATCAGTGTACCTGCTAGCATTGTTGTGAGAGCCTGCATTCAACTTCAGTGAATTTGTTTTTCTGGATATTCTTTCAATGCATTTGCCCATTTCATGATGGGTGATTTATGAGTGCACCTGTCCACACCTTACTGTGTTCAGTAGTTTTTGACCAAAAGCAGCATGACTCTCATGCCCCCACCCTCCTGATTCACCCGATCTTGCCCCAATGACTTTTTTTGTTTGTTTTGCCAATGAAAAAAGTCCGCAAAGGGAAATGTTTTGCTGATGTGGAAGAGTGAAACAAAAAATAGCAGAAACACTAAAAGGCATCAAAATTGATGAGTTCAAAAACTGTTTTGAGCAGTGGAAAAGGTGTATAGCATAAAAGAGAGTATTTTAAAGCAACTGAAGTTTAAACATGTAAGAGTAATTACAAAATTTTTAATAAATAAATTCCCTTTGTTTTTTGGGTCCCCCCTCGTATATATCCAAAATCTTACATTCCAACATTCTACCCAAATTCATATAGACGATGGTTGAAAAGCTATAAATCAATATTTGGTAATAAATTATCATAGTGAAGTGCTCAGGCAAATTTACATAACTGCAATAAAATACTATTTAAATATTAATTATGTTTGTTTTATACATATTTTAAAAGCATATCTCTTTATATCTGCTAAGGATTTATACATTTTCTCAGAAAATTTCAACATCAGTTTGAATGGTTATGAGGCTTTTTTATTGTTATTTTAATACTGGGTGCTTACTCAATGACCCTGCTTATTCAGTTTCATTTAGGCTCATTAGTGTCCAAGATCATTATCAAGAACATTTCTTTTTAAAAAAATTTTAAAGATGTGGGGTACAAATCAGGGTTAGGTATACAAATGTTCATTATGCAGGTACCCTTATTGATGAACATTTCTTATAGCAAACTCTAAAGCTTTTTGTTGTATAATAAGGAATTGGGCTGGTCTTTGTCCCCAGATCCTGGAAGGCAGGCCTCTCAGCCCTGACATTTCCTGAGTGATAGGACTGTCTTTGTTATTCATGGTGGACTCCCCTGACCACACAGGAGTTTATCCTAAAGAGATATCAGGGTGGGGGG